ATATATATATATATATATATATATATATATATATATATATATATATTATATTATATATTACGAGAGTAGTATGGAAAATATCTTGTGCGTCGACTACATTGAGCTACATTGTCACTACATGTTACATTTTGTTTATCGGAAACCTAATCACAGAAGGGGCAAGTCGTTGTTTTCAACATTTTCACAAGCACAGGACTGGTGTACGCTTTTCAAAATAAAAAGTTGACCGTGTTTTATTTGCCCTGAATGACCGACATGTTGCTGTTCTCCCGCATGGTAAATATTAGGCTTATGCAAGACAGTTCAGTGAAATGTCTGCACAGACCAGTCCTTCCTCTAACAGTTCATATATCACAAGTAAATCGTCCACGTCCCGCTCAGAGGTGAGCTGTCAGACATGAATCCAGTCAAAAAGCATGTGTGAAAATGCTGAAAATTGTGTAAGACCCTTAAATTGGTATCCATTTGTTTAGAATATCATAATTAAAGAATCAGGTCAGATTATTTAAGTCAACAGGTGGTGACGGATAGATTTCTTCTTCATTGGCAAAATACCCAATTTAATTTTTGTTATATCTTCCAAATGCCAATAAATTTGTTCCTCTCTGTAGGTGAATCCTAAAAACTCTGATTGCAAACTTTTTTCCAGTGAGTGTGGGACTGTCTTGATATCTTGAATAACTTTTTTTTTTTTAAGTAATTTATAGGTAAATTACTCAAAATAATATCCATTGGCCAGTTTCTTAAGTTTTAACAAGGTTTATTAGCATGTGTTGTTGCTATATATTTTATAAAATTTGTTTCGTCTTAATTTATTTATAAAACTAGAGTGGAAGCTTTCATTATAAAGATAAAGCAACATTACATTTTAGCCAGATGTTAACATTTAGTAACTTGTTAAATCAGCAGACTTGTTGACAGCCCAGAAAGTTAATACTGTATAACTACTAAGTTTCTTCCCATGGGCTCACCACCTGTGGGAGGGGCCAAAGGGGTCGGGTGCAATGTTGGATGGGTGGTGGGTGAGGGCGGGGACCCTGGCGGTCTGATCCTTGGCTACAGAAGCTGGTTATTGGGACGTGGAATGTCACCTCACTGGTGGGGAAGGAGCCTGAGCTGGTGTGTGAGGTTGAGAGGTTCCGGCTAGAAATAGTCGGACTCAGCTCTACGCATGGCTCTGACTCTGGAACCAGTTTCCTTGAGAGGGGTTGGAGACACTTCCACTCTGGAGTGGCCCCTGGTGAGAGGCGCCGAGCAGGAGTGGGCATACTTATTACCCCCATCTTGGTGCCTGTGTGTTGGGCTTCACCCCAGTGAATGAGAGGGTGGCCTCCCTCCGCCTACGTGTGGGGGGACGGGTTCTGACTGTCGTTAATGCTTATGCACCAAACGGCAGTTCAGATTATCCACCCTTTCTGGAGTCCTTGGAGGGGGTACTGGAAATTACACCTTCTGTTCGCTTATCCTGATGCATGCTCAATAATCCAGGTAGAAAAATCTAAAAAAGTTAAACTGATCAGTCTTACATCGGGGAAACAAAACAGCCACTGGCCAAAAGGATGGCCCAGCACAGAAGATCAACATCATCAGGCCAGGACTCTGCGGTCTACACTCATCGCCAGGCCAGCGGTCACTCTTTCAGGGATGAAGATGTGCACATCCTGGATAGAGAGGAACGGTGGTTTGAGAGAGGAGTAAAGGAGGCCATCTTTGTGAAAAGAAACCGTCCATCATTAAACAGGGGTGGAGGCCTACGTGTTCAATTGTCCCCCTCTTACAATGCTGTGATTGCTAGTATCACTCAGCCCTCTGTGAATAGTAAACAGCCATCAGTGTGCTAATGATCCATTGTTATGCTGATGGTCCTTCTTGAGCATGTGATCAGCTGGTTTTGGTTGTCAGCAGCAAAACTGGTTGATCCACTCTGAGAAGGTGCTATTTAAGAGACTGAGCTGAAAACAGCACCTCAGACTGAGGAAGTCTCTCAGATGAGAGACGAAACGTTTCTACATTTTTTGTTGTTTTGCTTTTTTTTTTTTTTTGAATGTCCAGAGGACCAGATTTAACTTTTTTAGACTCCTGTTCTCTTGTTCTGCTAGGGGACTTCAGTGCTCACATGGGCAATGACAGTGAGACCTGGAGGGGTGTGGTTGGGAGGAATGGCCCCCCGATCTGAACCCGAATGGTGTTCTGTTGTTGGACTTCTGTGCTCGTCATGGATTGTCCATAACAAACACCATGTTCAAGCATAGGGGTGTCCATATGTGCTCTTGCGGTACACCACCAACACTGTTTATAGTGGGGGTGGTGTGCTGCTGACTTCAAATCGGGATGTCGTGGGTCGGTGGGCAGAATACTTTGAAGACCTCCTCAATCCCACCGGCACGTCTTCCACTGAGGAAGCGGAGCCTGGGGACTCTGGGTCAGGCCCTCCAATCTCTGGTGCTGAGGTCATGAGGTGGTTAAAAAGTTCCTCGGTGGCAGGGCCCCAGGGGTGGATGAGATTCACCCGGAGTTCCTTAAGGCTCTGGATGTTGTAGGGTTGTGTTTGCTTACGCGACTCTGCAATATTGCGTGGACATCGGGGGAAGTTCCCCTGGATTGGCAGACCGGGGTGGTGGTCCCCTTATTAAAAAAGGGGGACCGTAGAGTGTGTTCCAACTACAGGGTGATCACGCTCTTAAGCCTCCCTGGTAAGGTCTATTCGGGGGTTCTGGAGAGGAGGGTCCATCGGATAGTCAAACCGCTGATTCAGGAGGAGCAGTGCGGTTTTCGTCCTGGTCTTGGAAAACTGGACCAGCTCTACACACTCAGCAGGGTCCTGGAGGATGCGTGGGAGTTTGCCCAACTGGTCTACATGTGCTTTGTGGACTTGGAGAAGGCGTTAGACCGCGTCTCTCAGGGAACACTGTGGGGGGTACTCTAGGAGTATGGGGTACCGGGCCCTTTGATATGGGCTGTTAGGTCCCTGTATGACCAGTGTCAGAGCCTGGTCCGCATTGCCGGCAGATAGTCGGGCTTGTTCCCGGTGAGAGTTGGACTCCGCCAAGGTTGCCCATTGTCACCGATTCTGTTAATAACTTTTATGGACAGAATTTCTAGGCACAGCCAAGGTGTTGAGGGGATCCGTTTTGGTGGCCTTAGGATTGCGTCTCTGCTTTTTGCAGATGATGTGGTCCTGTTGGCTTCATCAGATCGTGATCTACAGCTTTCGCTGGAGCGGTTCACAGCCGAGTGCGACACCGCCGGGATGAAGATCAGTTCCTCCAAATCTGAGGCCATGGTCTTGAGCCGGAAAAGGGTAGAGTGCCCTCTCTGGGTCAGGGAGGAGGTCCTGCCCCAAGTGGAGGAGTTCAAGTATCTTAGGGTCTTGTTCACGAATGAGGGAAAAATGGAACGTGAGATCGATAGGCGGATAGGTGCAGCGTCTGCAGTGAATCGGGCGCTGTACAGGTCTGTCGTGGTGAAGAGAGAGCCGAGTCAAAAGGCGAAGCTCTCAATTTACCGATCGATCTATGTTCCTACCCTCATCTATGGTCATGAGCTTTGGGTTGTGACCAAAAGAACGAGATCTCTGATACAAGCGGCCGAAATGAGTTTTCTCCGCAGGGTGTTTGGGCTCTCCCTTAGAGATAGGGTGAGAAGCTCGATCATCCAGGAGAGACTCAGAGTAGAGCCGCTGCTTGTCCACGTCGAGAGGAGCCAGTTGAGGTGGCTTGGGCATCTGTTTAGGATGCCTCCTGGACGCCTCCCTGGTGAGGTGTTCTGGACACGTCCCACCGGGAGGAGACCCAGAGGAAAACCCAGGACACGCTGGAGGGACTATGTTTCTCGGCTGGCCTGGGAACGCCTTGGGATTCCCCCGGAAGAGCTGGACCAAGTGACTGGGGAGAGGGAAGTCTGGGCCTCCCTACTTAGGCTGCTACCCCTGCGACCCGACCCCGATAAGCGGAAGAAAATGGATGGATGGATACTAAGTTTCTTTCCGTTTTTGCTTTTTGTTTACTATTATTTAGTAAAATTTTCAAAACTTTACAATGTTTTTAAGAATGTATGTAATGGACTTGTTGGCAAATAAAACATATTTGTCTTCTGTCCTATAGGCCTCTTTTCAGCGCTCCAACAGTCATGACAAAGTGCGAAAAATAGTTGCTGAAGAGGGCCGTGCAGCTCGAAACCTTATTGCCTGGAGTGTCCCTCTTGAAAACAAAGAGGAGGAAGGTTAGTAGCTTCATGCAAAGACTCTTTCCATTCATGCTGTTACAGTATTGTTATGCTGCAGGTATCACTGTGCATATTTAATTTAGATGTGACATTGATGTCATTGACAGATATTTAGTTATTGTTAAAAGGTGTTCTTTCAAGAAAAAATGTAAAGTGCTAGTGGATACACAATTACAAACTGTGGAGCTGTTCTTTGAGCCAAGCGAAAAATATGAGGCTTAATCAGGACTTAAACATCAATATCACAGCAAAGACCATAAGTGTCTGTCACAACGAGTTTTGTTGAACACAGCAGGATTTTTTTTAATAGAAAATTGCTATTTATCAACAACATTTAAATACTATCAAACTGCTGTTTATTGACCAGACTAGCAAACTAAACAAGAAGAAGAAATGTGACTTTCCTTATTTGTGGGATCAATAATGTATACAAGATTTAATTGTCAAAATAGTTTTTCAAATTGTAGAGTAACTAGAGGTCACATATTACGAGAGACGACACCAGATTGAACATCAGTGACTCTGAACGGTATCTCAATGTTATGTGTAACTGGATTATATATTTTTGGAGAATATGTTACTAGAGAAAATGTTAATATCTGCCATAAACCTGCTTTGTGAATTTACAAGAAATAAACGGATCTGTTTGATGTCAAGGGCTCCACTTTTAATTTAGTGACACTTAATAGCTTGTCCTTAAGAAAGATTTATTTAGCAGTTTTTGGAATCTAATTTAGTCCACTCAAACTTGGATGTTTTGTTTTATTAGGCCCTGTAATTATTGTAATTTTTCAGTCATTAGGACAGAACTAAATGGCTTTCGTAAGCCATTGCTCATAATCACAGCGATTGTTTTTGAAAACTGCATCATATTATTAAGTGAGTCAGCTCATGCTAATCGTTATTTGCCTTTTAAAATAGTCATCATGTCTACTTAAAGATAGAAGTGCAACACAAAGAACATTACAGTTAAGTGTATAAAACAAATGGGTTCCTGAGATGGTAATTTTTTACTCAGTTCTATTCAGTTTATTTATATAACACCAACTTAGTCAGAAAAGAAGTCGTCTCAGGGCACTGAACAAAAACATTCACATACATTATAAAAGCCAATTATTAAAAGTTATCTAAGGAAACCAACAGATTGCATTAAATCTGCACTTGGTTGCAGTCTCCCATCCTGAGTAAGCACAAAGGCAACAGTGGAAAGTAAAAACTCCCTTTTAACAGGAATAAACCTCCAGCTGAACCAGGCTCAGGACAAGCATCCATCTGCATTGGCTGACTGAGTTTTGAGAGGACAGGATGGCGAAACACACAAACAGAATGCAGTGTTTCCTTTAGGTTACTTGCCTTGGGAGGCACTCGTCTCTTCATGGGTTTTTTGTCGACCTAGGTTTGTCCCACCCTGGGCCCTTGAGCAAGGTCCTTAGCCCCCATCATATGCTCCCCTGGGTGCCCTAGATGGCAGCTCTCTGCTCCACACAAAGGGCTGTGGTAGCTCAGAGATCTTTGATTGTGTCAGGAAGGGCATCCCGTGTAAAAACAATTGCCAAGTCTTGGTGCGAGTTTGTTTGCTGTGGAGTAACTGATAGAAGAAGATCTGGAGGCCAAATTAATGCCATCCAGAGCAAGTGAAAGACTGCAAAGTTTATTCAGAAGATGCTCGGGTCCCAAAACCGCAACCTCAGTTTTGTGACTTTTATGTCTTTAAGACATGCTTGTAATCTAAGTAATCGATTGTATTCATCAGTTTTCATGGATAAATACAGTGGTGGGCACAGTTTCCGCCAATCTAATAATAGCGGAACTACCGGTAACTTTCCGTTTAGCAGGTTAGCGTTTTTGCTAACTTTGAAAACCTTTAGGGAAATTATCTTCCACTAAAATGAAATCCAGTAAATCCAAGTCCACAATAAAAAAAAAATTAAAAAAATGGTTCTTGCACTAAAAGTGTATAGGACAATGGTGTTCTACATGGGGCGGAGCGATGCTATGCAGAGCTAAGCAAATCTAAGCGCTACCCCATGATGCCATCACTCTTGCTGTGCTTTTTTCCCCTCATACCTACTGCAAGCAGTCTCTGACTCATGGTGTCGGGTTACAGCCAATAACAGAGACTTTAACATAACAGGAATTCAAATAAATAATAAAATTTAACAGGAAAATAACATGAAAAAACAATTTTCACACTCAGAAACATTGTAAACTGTCAAAAACTTTGCACACATAATTTCTACCCAGCATGCTTTGCAACACATCTCTGGAAGTGACACTCACACATTTTGTACATCTGTACTTTAATACAAACAGATTTATTACTGAGAGCATATTGATGATGCACAGCAACCTTCTAGTTGGTTTAAAAAATAGCTGAACACAAAGAGGATCACTAAAGTGAGTTAATTAATTTATTGTAAATGACACGAGGGAGACATCCGACACACATTTAATGCATCACGCTGCTTTGGCACAGCAGAGTTCTGCTTCACCTCTTCGGTTCTAATGGATAGGAGGATTAATTTCTGAAAGCTCACCTCTGAACAGGACATGGACGCCTTTACATGTGATTTATGAAGAGGTTTGAGTTGTGTTCACTTACAACGTTGTCACATTAAAGACAGTGTCAGCAACAGCAGTGTATGATAACAGTTGTCACTTTACCGTTAGCTTCCGCTATTTTTAATTTATTTATCTGTTTAGCAGTTTAGTGTTCTCATTTTTTTAGTTGGTGAATTAGCGGTTAGTGAAGCTAACTTATTGGTTAGCTGTGCCCACCATTGGATAAATATTACAGAGTATCCATCCATCCATTATCTTTTACCCGCTTCTTCCATTTTGGGTCACGGGGGTCGCCGGTGCCCATGTCCAGCAATCACTGTGCGAGGGGCGGGGTACACCCTGGACAGCTCGCAAGTCCATCACAGGGCCACATAGAGACAAAGGAGACAAACAACCATTCACTCTCTCACTCACACCTAGGGACAATTTAGAGTTACCAATCAGCCTTACATGCATGTTTTTGGTCTGTGGGAGGAAACCGGAGTACCCGGAGAAAACCCACGCATGCGCCGAGAGAACATGCATACTCCACCCAGAAAGGCCCCTGGACCGGGGTTTGAACCAAGGACCTGCTTGCTGAGAGGCAGCAGCTCTACCAGTTGTGCCACCATGCTGCCCATTACGGAGGCATAAAAACAAACATAAACATCAGCCAAAAAATTAAAAATTATCCCATGCTATTTAATAACATTACCTAATGGAAGCATATATAAAGAAAAAAGTATTGCTCCAAGCATTGAACCCTGAAGAACTCCATGCCCAACTTTGGTGTATGACAAAGATTCATTATTTACATTTACAAACTGGACTCTTGTGAAATAAATATGATTTAAACCATTTTAGAGCTGTTCATGTAATCCCAATATCATACTCAAGCCTCTGTAGTAGAATATTGTGATCAAATGTATTAAATGCAGCACTGAGGCCTAACGGGACCAGTGTAAACACCTGTTCATTGTCTGAGTCCATGAGAATGTCAGTAACTTTCACCAGTGCTGTTTCTGTGCCATGATGAGCTCTAAACCCTGACTTTAACTCATCAGACAGATTATTTCTGTCCAGATGTTCACAACTGATTAGCAACAACTTTTCTCAAGAACTTTTGAGATGACTGTTAGATTAGATTAACAGGTCTGTCTTGTAAATGAGTCCTCGAGGCTCAATGGGAACTAACCTGTATAAATAAAGGTTGAATGAATTGGGTCTATAATTGGTCAATAATTGGCCAGAATTCCAGAGTTGAGATCAGATTTCTCAAGTAAAGGTTTAATTACAGCAACCTTAAAGCGCTGTGGTACGTAACCATGCATTAGAGATACATTCATTTTTGTGTTAATTTGTTTATTTAAAAAATTGTGACATTTAAATACATCTGGGTTATTCTTCTAAAATCAATAACGATTGTTTTCTTTCAACTTCTTTTCCACAAAGTGAAGTCCAAAGGCAACTCCAGTGGCAGCTCCAGGTCTCAGAGGACCCATTATGGACAACAGAAAAATAAAAAACAGGTTGGAAATTTTATAATTTTCCACTAGAGGGCTCTGTTCACCAAGGCTTTGCTTTTTGGCGCGTGCATGTGTTTCTCACATTTTAGAAGCACAGTGCAAGTTTATTATATGTAAATCTGTTCTTTTATATTATGTAAGTTGGTCTTTATGTCAGTAAAAGAGCTGAGAATATTGACTGGAGTGAATATTAGTGTGCAGATCTGCTCTTTTTTCCAAGTAAAGTTCTTGAAATAGAATTCCTGGGTCCAATTATAACATTTGTCATTTTACTCAAGCGATTACTATTGTTTTTGTATTTTATGTAATTATATGTACATGTTTATTGATCAGTTAACACATACAACTTGTCTTAGCCATCAGAATGTAATGTTAAATATGATATTGTTAGAGGTTTAGTGTGCAAACGTTTCAGTTTTTGTAATGTTTAATAAACAATATGTGCTTCATAGAATGCTGGCATTGAAAGTAAAGGCACATCTGGAACTTCACTGGACAAGGGGTCTGACAAGAGTCCCAGTAAAGTCAGGCAGCCACGGAAAGTGGACCTGCGAGCACGGTATTGGGCCTTCCTCTTTGAGAACCTGCGTCGGGCCGTGGACGAGATTTACGTCACGTGCGAATCTGATCAGAGCGTCTTAGAATGCAAGGTTAGTCTGTTCTGAAGAGCAAAAAGCAAAACCCCAGATAGACATCAAAATATAAGGTTATGGTCATTTGGTTCTTTGTATGTATGACCTGTGCAAACCTCTGTGGTTAAACTGGGTGTTATATGATTAATGAACACTAGAGGGGGCATTGAAATTACAGTACAATAAAATGTCACAGAAAAATGTCAGAGGGCATTTTGTGAAGGCTTATTGGTAAAACAGTTATCACAAGAGCTTCATCTTTGGGTTCGCTTGCTGTAATCTGTATTGTACCTACGTTGTGTGTGTGTGCGTTTGTCCTGTTCTGAATCAGGAGCTGGGCATTTTTTTGCTCAACACATTGCACATTAAATTAAAACCATGCTTAGAATAGAATAGAATAGAATAGAAACAGCCTTTATTGTCCCACGGATGGGAAATTCTAGTGAAAAAACACAATTTTTAAAAACAATTCTTCATTTTAAAGATGTGGGCTTTGTTTTCTTGAGACTGTACTTGTTGCACTAAGGCATTCTTACAGGACAGTACTTGTTCTGACTTTTATTGACTTCTGCCATGCCACGTTATGTTGAACGTGGTTCTGGTGATGGTCTGTGGTCAGCACTGTAGTCCAGTTCCCTGTGGTGGGACGCGTATGGTGTCAGTGCCACAGTGGGGGTCCTTGTAGTGTGATAAGCATGCTGTCAGTTGTCTTGTGTCAGAAAACAGGCTGCTAGGTGTACGTTTCACCCCCTCCCCCCCACTCCCATATACCACTGTATCTCTTGACACACTAATGCTGTCTAATGAACATGAAGCCGGGTGCTGCTCATAATCCTCTATCCCACCCAGCTTGGCCTTAATGGACGCTGATAAATGATGGAGTCATCTGGAAAGAAAGCAGAGTGCTTTGATTGCCCTCAGCCACAATCCCCCAGTGTAGCTGTGGGCAGTCTGTGTTGTATGCTGTCACACAAACGGCCCACCATTTTTCACCTAAACAACTTGAACATTATCATCATCAGGAAGTGATGCCAGATTATCTTTTGAAATTTACCGTTCCATATTTTGTGATTTCAAACAAGAACCTCAATGCTGACCTGTTACTTTATTCTCCTTCTCAAAGGGTAATTGTTCACTCAGCAGAATGGTTCATAGATTTTTATAAATATTGTCTTATGGTTTCTCAGCCGAAAGTAAATGGGAAAGGTTCTCAGAATTCCAATTTGCTCTGATGCTTTATATAATTCTAAAATAAATTGGGACAGATTATTGTAGCATGAAATAGTTTAAATGACAAATAACAGAAGAGTAAATTATTTACTAGAGGTCAATAACGCTCACCTCGCCTGAAAGTGACTTTGCTCTTCATTTTTGTTTCAGTGTATGGAGGAACACGGGTTTTAACAGGCCACCTTATTTAAAGGCTAGGCCTCTTGAAGGTTAAATATCCATCTGTCATTTCTCATGAAACGTTATATGTAGGTTATATTTGTCTAGATGTTTCTGTGAACATGCTGACAATTCCTTTGCTTTCGTTCACTGTTGGTTTACCTATTCAAGGAATTAGCTCTCTTGCTTCATTACAAAATGCCTTCATTACCAAATGAACACCGGCCCATAGCTGTGGACTCTGACAGCTGACCAGCCCTAATCAACAGACCTGCTGCTGAACACATCTTTCACTGGCTTTGACTTGTCTATTAACTAAAAGCACTGTGAAGCTTTACTTTCAATTACCACTCCCTTCATGCTCCCCATCAATCAGCTGTGTCTGTTTCCTTGGAGCTCTGGGGGAAGAAAAAGCTCCTCACAGACCACCACTTCTGCATAACCAATCCTGTCACTTTAGTCCAAGTGCACATAATAGACATTTGTTCTAAAGAATTGGGCTCCTCTGTTCTTCCTCAAAGCTCTCAGTGTGTGTAGTGTTTATCTTTACACAGCTTTTGCTTTCAAGATAAACTATTAATCTTTGTAAGATCCTTCTTGTCATTTTAAATTATTCAACAAAATGTGGGCTCTCAGGAAGCTTTTTTTTTTTTTTTTTTTTTTTTTTGAATCAAACTTTTTCCTTTTGGTGGTTAAAAAATGTGCCTTGAATTTTGTGATTATAGAATTATTTATTGCTCTCGTAAAAACAAGAAAAATCTAGATTGCTACTTGTTTCTTTTTTTGAAAAATACAATTAATAGAACAAAAAAAGTACAGACAGCCAGTTAGTTAGGGTTTTTTTAAATAAAGAAAATGAATCAAGATTTAGAAATAATTTTGCACTTTGTGCTATGTAGATAATTGTATTTTTAATCTTTGCTTAGTTTTTGTTGCAATAATAATTTACCTGTCGTACGTAGGAGGTGTTGATGATGCTGGACAACTATGTGAGGGACTTCAAAGCTCTCATTGACTGGATCCAGCTTCAAGAGAAGTTGGAGAAAACGGATGCCCAGAACAGGTGATCTTGTTTCTTCTCACCGTCTTGTGCTGTTTTAAATAGCTCCCTGTGGTGAAACTCGAAGTGCTGCTGGGGTCTGGACCCTGGCTTTGAGTCACAAACACAACTGATCAATAGGCTTGACTTTAATTCAGAGATCTGTGAGTTTATTGGGTTCTCTTTAACACAGTGACCACTGCAGCCGTAAATTGACTTTGAAATTTAATTCCTAGTACCACCTCTCAATGTGTTAATTTCAAATGTGCCTGTGAAACTTTAACATTTTACTTCATTCTAATCGTTTATTATTCGGCTGATTATACTAAATAAGTGAGTCAAGATTGTTCATGTTTAGCAACAATAATTTCTTTTTGTTTTAGTCTTACATTATCTATGGCATTTTCACTTTCTTCAGGCCGACTTCTTTAGCTTGGGAGGTGCGGAAGATGTCTCCAGGACGTCATGTCATGCCGAGCCCGACTGCAGACAGAATGGTAGCCCCCTCAGGCGCTCGACGTGCCCTCAACTTTGCGTAAGCTCTCTTGTTTTTGTATAAATAAATAAAACAATGCACACGTTGCATCATTTCAGTATCGACCACGCAATATTTTGTCACAGTGCTCTGTGGTGTTTAAAGGTTAGAAGGTGCAGACAATATCCAAGAAGATGGCCACCGTTTGCTGACGGTGAAGCATTTGTTAATGCAATTTGTTGAGTCGCTCACTTTTTGGCCGCAGAATCTGTGGAAGGTGTAGATGAAAGTGTCTGTTAAAGACTACTGAAGCATTGGTTCAATATGTGCACCAGTCTGTAATCTGATGCAGCAGGAAATGGATATTGATCATGACAGAGGCCTGTTGTACAATACATTTCCATGCTAAGAGTAGAGCCTGCTGGGAGTGGTAGACAGACTATCTTCAGCAGGCTGAAGTGTTTTCAGCGGTCAACACAGTAGTAGCTGCTCAGAAATGGGATTTAATAAGATTTAAAGTTCTGCCTGTTGGCAGGAAAGGCACCACAACCGTGCACTGATTGTTCTTTTGTGTGTTCTTGGCCAGTGGTCCTACATCAACGCTGGCTGCAGCTCGGCTCTCCCATACAGGTCTCAGCTGGGCAGACAGAGTAAAGTGCACTCAGGCCATACAAAGCCAACCAGCCACAACCCCAGCAGAGAAACCTGGTAAGAACTGACCCGTAAAACTCCCATTACACAATGTATTCTCAAAAAAAACAAAAAAAAACAAGTTATATCTCTTTCCGCCTGTTTATGGAGTCAACTTTGTGTTTCCAGGTAAAAAAGATTCAGAAGGCTGGGAAACTGTACAGCGAGGACGCACTGCTAAACCTCGCTCTGCAGCCATGGTGGCCAAGGTCAGTCCTGTCTTGGCTCACACCACCCCAAAACAGGACGGCGCCAAGGGTAACTGGTCACATCTACCCGCACAGAATCAGAAACGGCTCCGTCCTGAGTGTCCCCCAGATAAGGACGTGATCCAAACTAACTCTGGACAGCAAGTCACTGCAGAGCCTAACCCTCTTAAGGAGGTTGTACATCCAGATAATGGACAAATAATGGAGGTATTAATGTTGAACACTCTGTGACAGATTTCTGTTTGAGCATTTCCTGGATATCAATTATTCAACATGGAGCAGTGTAACACTAGATATTTTTTTCAGCCACATTTGTTTTTGTTTTGGACTTCATGATATTAATAGGCAGACTGTCCAGACAGGCATATCAACTTTGAAACGATTGATTGTTCTCTGACATTTCAGAGACATAATAAAGGTTCATTTTCATCGTCATGAAAATAATGGACAATAAATCAAGACCCACTTGGTGAAACTATTTCATACCTTTAGTTGATGTGAAAAAAAATTCATCTGCTCAGTTTAATTATAGCTAGATATTCAGAGCATGTTAATATCAGCTTCCCTGCATGACTTGTGTATTTATCTGGATGTTGATTGATTTTTAATTTGGATGTTTGTTTGTTTTTATTGTCACAAACTGCTTGAAATATGCATGTCTTTAATTCAGTTTGCACGTGTTTGTGTGTGACTGTCGGTGCAGCCCCCAGCAGAGCGTATACAAGACTCAGAGCAGTGTGTCGACGCACCTTGTGAAGACGTGCCTCCCTCCGTAACATCTCTTACCCCATCCCAGGCCCCAGAGAGCACCCAATCCAAAGCCACAGGCCCTTCATCAGACATTACCATATCAGTCCCAGTCACTTCTCAGGACATTACAGCATCTGTAGACCCACACCAGACGGGTGGGTTCAGTACTCTGATGGTCTTTGAGGACACTGGGGCTGAGGGGGGCGCATCACAGGGCATGGCAACATCTGCTGCAGGACAGGCCGAGACTCCCATGGCAGCGGTGAAACTGGAGAGTGTGCTGGACCCCACAGAGCTTTCCACTGTGAGTGCTGAGAGATGGAGGAGCAGAGGGAGGGGATGGCTGAAAGGGCAGGGGGATCCCCCAGGGTTCTTCGATGCCTAAACAAAGTCAATCTGAAGAAACCTTCAGACCAAATGTGCAGACAGGCCTGCATAGCTCTGTGTAATGTTGTTATAGCAGCATTCACTGTCAAGAATAGCTGTGACTTGATGGCCTTTGTACTCTAGCAAGTACTTCCAGTGTGGCCCAAAACTAAACAGTCAGTTTTGTTCAGTTCAAGAATTTTATAGAAAAAAAATGGTTGAACATATTTTCATACATCAAACTTGTTCTTAAAAGTACTTTTAACTTAAATATAATAAAACTAGTGGTAATTTTCACCAGTTTCGTCCTATTCATAGAATGTACCAGTAACTAAGATGTAGATTTGTTACTATTTAATTTACTCATACAAACCCTTAATAAATGGACATTTTCATCACATTGGTAGATTTAAAATACTTCCTGCTCTGGAGTTGTCTTTTGAGTATTTTTCATATTTTTGCAATATTATGAAAGTTAACATTTCCATTTATTTACACCTTTAAACTATTTTTAAAAAAAGTAGTTGCCTCCCTCCATCATCTCCTCATCTTCACTGTGATTGTGCCCCGCATGACGTTTGGGTGTTTCCTCACATGTGATAGTTGTGGTGGTTGTATAATATTTTTCTGAATCTTAAGCTCATACATCCACATATAAATTAAATATATGTTGGAACTTTCATATGCTTGTCACTCAGTACACTAGGTGTTGGTGTGAATAATATAACATGTATTAAGTGTACAATGTACTTGTTTATAATGAAACTGCTGCATGTGCTCAGCCTCAGTCCATGGCAGAGGTCCTTGCCAAGAAAGAGGAGCTGGCTGACCGGCTGGAGAAGGCAAATGAAGAGGCCATTGCCAGCGCCATTGCTGAAGAGGAGCAGCTGACGAGAGAGATTCAGGCTGAAAATAACGATCTAGAGACCGACAATGAAAATTACTTCTCTGTAAGAATAATCCTTCCTATTTCTTACTTGTTGATGTTTGGTGCTTTTGCCTTCTCAAAGCCTCATTTTAACTTACTACAGGCTAATATAAGTGGTGGAGGCTGTGGCATCAATATGGATTGGATTGATCTGTTGGCTGAATTTGATGGTATGGAAGTGATCGTCTAAAAATAAATTATGAAGTCTACAATTAATGTATAGTTTATGAATTTTGACTGGATGTATGCACTGCAGCTCGGGAATCATGGCGTCAAAGTACATCTTGGGGGGACATGGTAGAAGAAGAACCTTCTCGTCCTCCTGGGCATGGGATTCACATGCATGAGAAGTTGTCCTCACCATCACGCAAAAGGTAATTTGTCTCATTGTGCTGCTGTTTGTGTGGAGTTTTTTTTTTTATCTTACTTTTTAGATTCCCCAATTTAATAGTAGATCATTTGTAACTTCATAACTTTTGACGAGGCTTTTATCCAGAATAAGCGTAACTTTCTTAGTTTGATTAATTGTTCTTGTCCAGTCACCACCTAGAGTGTTAAAACAGACCTTAGTGCATGTTAGTCTATTTTTGAGGCATTTGCTTCCATATTTTTTGACAGAACCATTGCTGAGTCAAAGAAGAAACATGAGGAGAAACAACTCAAGGCTCAGCAGTTGAGGGACAAACTTCGTGAGGAAAAGACCTTCAAATTGCAGAAGCTCATGGAGAGGGTGAGCAAGTTGTTCTGACCTGACGGACAGCACCCTAAAGAAACTCCAGTCAAGCTAAGCTCAGCTTGGCTCACAGCGAGAGCATCTTTCAGCACACCGTTTGATAAAATAGCTAAATATTCTGAACCTTTCCAGTCCCATCCAGAGCAGCTGGCCACAAGCAGTCATGAGAGAGCCTCTTAGCCAAAGTCTACAGCCTTTCATGAAGTTTGCTTTCATACTCCAAGCCATAGCAAGATGATTGAGTCCTCAAATAAATTGGGTTAACCACATAATTTCAAAAAGTGGTGTTTGTTCTCATTAATCCCCACATGGACACACAGGCATGAGTAGAAAGTGAAGAGTTCACCACATTGTTATGTCTTTGGGAATCTGTTGTACATTTCTCTGTATTTACCAGTCATCACTTTTTTACTTTCTGCAGGAGAATGATGTGCGAAAATGGAAAGAAGAGTTGTTGGAGCAGCGTCGGAAAATGATGGAAGAAAGGCTGTTGCACGCTGAGTTTAAGAGGGAGCTGCAGCTCCAGGCGATCGTGAAGAAAGCCCAAGAAGAAGAAGCCAAGGTAGAGAAAGAAAATCCTTGAAAGATGCAACTCTGTAAAAGTTGAGACGTTTCTCAAATGAAGCACCTCGCTGTCCTCTGTTGTATGTATTCTGTGTGTGTTCATTTCATTGTGTACATTTATCATAACAGGTGAATGAAATTGCTTTCATCAACACTTTGGAAGCTCAAAATAAGAGGCACGATGCCCTGGCCAAGTTGAGTGAATATGAGCAACGTCTTAATGAGCTACAGGAGGAGAGACAGAGGAGGCAGGAGGAGAAGCAGGCCAGAGATGAGGCTGTTCAGGTGGGAACTTTTCAGAGGCATGATTTATTTTTTTTCACTGGGTTTTCCAACTATTTGCATGTTCATTGCATCTTGCCTTGTCTGTAGGAGCGTAAGAGGGTTTTGGAAGCAGAGCGGCAAGCGAGAGTGGAGGAGCTGCTGATACGAAGGAAAGAGCAGGAAGCTCGTATTGAGCAACAGAGGCAGGAAAAGGAAAAAGCTCGAGAGGATGCAGCTCGGGAAAGGGCCAGGTTTGTGTTACACCTTCAGTTTATATGGTGTGTGTGTGTGTGTGTGTACATACATGTCGTTCGTTCGTTCGTTTAGTTAGTTAGTTAGTTAGTTAGTTAGTTAGTTAGTTAGTTATCGCTGGGCTTCAGGGTATGGATAAGTGAAAAACCACGAAGTAGGAATAGTAGTACAATTAGTACTTTATTTTACTATTTTTATATATATTCAGGTGTTTTAAACACTTCCCACACTCTTGCAATATGCTAAACAATGTTTCTAAACTCTCAACGCTCTAAAAGAGCACATAATGTCATGAATTCAGCTCCCTGCTTTCTCTGCCCTCGGCCACTTGCAAGCGCTCTTGGCCACACCCACTTCTCCACACTGCATGGACAACAGCTGATCAGCTGCAGCAGGAAGTTTATCCTGCAGTATGGGCTGCACAAATGTGCAGCAGGTGCTAAATAATTTAATATTATTTTAAATAAAAATTCCATGCCGATCGTGCCACTCATCCATCAATCATCCAATTGTGCGTCATGTCCAACCTATTTTGAAAAACTGCGATAGAGCGATGATAAATTGAACAGTTTTTCCCCTCTTTGTTGTAAATACCTGTAGAATCACAGTTATTGTAACTAGTGGGGCTCATGCCCACATTATTATAATTCAAATGTCTGGTAAGAGCAGGCCGAAACTACAGGAAATGTAATACAACCAGATTGACTTCCAACATTTGAGCTGTCCCATTTTCTGATTGGGTTTAAACTTTTAAAATTATAATCTGTCATTATACTCTTCTTAATAAAATGGTGTACAGTTCCTTGATTTGTTTCTGCATAAAATGTCTGTCATTCCAGTAGCATTCATTCATTCTTCAACCTTTATTTATCCAGGTTAGTCTCACTACGTCACGAGGACTCATTTACAAGTGACCTGCTTTAGACGGACAACATATAAAGTACAGATAACAATAAACTACAGTAAAAATGCAATTAAAATAAAAGTAGTGTTATAAAACAATAAATCAAGGTGCCATATAAAACATGGTAAAATACTAAAAACAAGAACGTAAAACAAGAAAGTAAAACCTAAACGGCATATTTAATATGTTTATAAATATGTATATGTTTTGTATTTTATAGTAGGTACATCACTTAGACTTGGTCATTTTAAAAGTAGCTCGCATGCTGAAAAAGTGTCGGCACCTTTGGTGTAGACATTTAATGTTAGCCAACAACCATCTTTGTGGAAATTGTAAAAAGAAAAAAAACGAACTTTTTTTTAACTGTTTCATAAATACGGAGCTTTAGGGCTACGCTAAGAAAAAAATTAAAAGCCATAAAATTACGAGAATAAAGTCAAATGTAGTCTTAATGTTACGAGAATAAAGTCGTACGAGACTTTTTTTTTCAGCTCTCGTTTATTTATAAAAAAAAATTCCACGAGTCAGAGCCACGACGCGGCCTGTCAGTCAATCCAGTCGGTGTGTCAGCAAATGACCAATCCGAAGCTAAATGAGTCGTAATATTATCCGAACTCAGACACATGAAGTAGGTTTACTGTATTTTAACTGGTAAAATGAAGAATGTTGAGCGTCTTGTTTAGTTATACTTTGGTATTGGTTTTACAAATAAGGAGATAGTTAATCTGTTAGCACACCAGCATCAGATTATTATCAGTATCAGGACTTTGAACCTTACTTTGAAGGTGGTACGCTCTGATGGGCTGCAGCAGCTCTCTGCAGGTAAGGAGCATTTAGCTTCGGGTTGGTCATTTGCTGACACGCCCACTTGATTGATTGACAGGTCGCATTTTGGATCCGACTTGTGAAAAAAATAAACGAGAGCTGAAAAAAAAAAAAGTCTTGTACGACTTTATTCTTGTAATATTAAGACTTTGTTTGACTTTATTCTCGTAATTTTATTTATTTATTTTTCTTAGCGTGGCTCTAAAACTCCGCCGCACATAAAAATCAAAAGTTTCATAAAAATAAACAAAATGATATTGAAATTTCTAGTCGCAATTTGTTATAAAGTGTAAATTGATGTAATCTGTATTAAACTTAAATCTTCGACACTGTGCAAAAATCACATTATATACCTTCTAAATTTGCTGCTTAGGTAGTTCTGTTAAGATTATTCTAGGAGTCCTTCATTCAAGACTTTTGTGTAAGTTTCTAATAGTTTTCTTCTTTTTTTGTTCTTTATGAAGAGACCGAGAGGAGCGTCTGGCTGCTCTTAGTGCTGCCCAACAAGAGGCCATGGAGGAGCTACAAAAGAAAATTCAAATGAAGGTAAGTTTATACCACGCTGCCTTGTTTCTTTCACAGACATCATGCAGGAATCCCCATTTCCCATATGACCCACGGTTTCTGGTTTCTTCTCCAGCATGACGAGAGCAGCCGCAGGCATATGGAGCAGATCGAGCAGAGGAAAGAGAAGGCTGCTGAGCTCAGCAGTGGTCGACATGCTAACACAGACTACGCCCCCAAACTGACACCTTATGAGCGCACGAAACAATGCTCATTGTGTGGCACTGTGGTATGTAAAGTGTCTTTCTGTCAGTTTCTTGGCTTTCATGTGTGTTAACACTATAGTTCTGTGCAACTGATATTACTGAAGTATAAATAGTTAAAAGCTTTTCTTGTTGTTAATTTTAAAAAGGTTAATTTTTTTCTTTATTTTATAATCTATGTTGAATTAAATAGTTCAGTGGATATACATGTACATCGTTTTGGGATAAAAACAAAAGACCCGTTCAGCTCAAGCTACATTTGTGTTTTTTAGCAGACTGTGAATACACAAAAATACTTTTTATAAAGATGATTCAAAAGATTTTTGAACGAACGCTTATTTAAGTGAGGATTTAACAGCGTTAGTTAAACAGATTTATGCCCAAATAAATTTTTTAAGCACTTCACAAGCACTCACAGTTATCTCTGATTAACTGGCTGCCATGACAACAAGTCCGGGACACCTTGAGACTTCACACCAGCATCAGATAAAGAGGAGGGTTGAGGGCAGGGGGAAAAAAGGAATCTTGTTAAAATGTTAGATGACCTTGGCTGACATCCGACACCAGAGATCACGAATGGGTCAGCACCGAGCACTTTGTTTAATGACGTTAAACACAAACCATCTGAAATGGGCTTGTTTCCAGAAATTGATCAAAAACAGTTCCTGTTACACACCTGCCTTTTGTCATGGCACTGTCAGGTCCGCACTACATTTAAACATATAGTATAAGCCATTATTTTTTGCAAACTGATATTTTCAAATAAGGTAGAATTAGATACATTTTTTTTCATGGCATATGGAGCCATTTTTGTTCTTTAATTAACTGTGCAGGGGTATTGATTGGGAATTTATCAATGTTATGTGGCACGTCTAACAATTTCTATTTCTTTTCTTCAGCCTGAGCTTTAAACTAAAGTTTAGGAGAGGCAGATTGTGTCCCATTGTACACGTCCGTGCGGTGTATTGTTTCACCAGGGTAACGCAGAGCCCTGCTGACCCTTTCGTGCCTCTGTCTCCATTGTGTCTGCTGCACTGACCTCTGACCATTGTGTTTGTATTTGTAGATCACCTCAGAGGTGCACCTGTTCAGCCACACCAAAGGCAAGAGGCACCAGCAGGCCGTGCGAGACAGTAGTAGCATCCAGGGACGGGAGCTCTCTGATGAGGAAGTGGTGCGTATCAAAACCACACGCTGCCGGGAACAAACATCCTCTGATTCGGTCAAAGAACACCACCCCACTGCTGCTTGTGTCATGTAAATAGACAAAGAGAAACAGCAGTTGTCTTTTATGGCGTGCCCATTATGATGGTTTATCCATCCCTTTAGACACTGCCACAGCTCTGTCGCTGGCTTTGTGCGATTTTAAACGAGCCTTAAAATGTACACAGTTAGGGTTCAGTGCTTCAGTGGAGCGTTGACATCACCCTCTTGTCCTTGGGCCTTTTTTGTCATGGAGTGGCTTTCTGTGGGAAGGCAGCTTGTCAATGCAAGGTAACCTCTCGGGCTGCAATATGAGATTGGCTTTTCAGTCAAGCTCATTGTGAGACAAACAACTGTTGGTGCTATCTGCAGCACCTTTAACCCTCAACAAACCCTTCATTCAAAAGTTGTTTTTAATGCCTTATTTTTCTACACTGGTCTTTTTCACAGTTGACAGTACTGTATATCAACATTTGTTTTTAAAATATAATTTTTGATCTCATGTATAACGGTCTTCTCTTTGGAAAATATTGTACACTTTAATTCTTGTTTTTATCTTTAATTTATTTAGTCGATCCATCAGAACTTTGTGAAAGCTTTTTTTTTTTGCCCCCCAGTGTTTTAATATCAGAGTTTCATTTGATGTTCATTTTTTTTAATTCAAACTTTTGCCACTTATCGTGACCCCGCAACTGTTTTTACAAAAACATGTTTTATATTCATTTGAAGACTGTTCGATTAGCTGTGCACTGATCACTTTAAAATCTGGAAGCAGATTTTAAGCTTACCAAGTAAATTTAATAATTTCCCATTTGTCTTTTTTTTTTTAATTATAGACATTTAGTTTTTATTGCCCTTTTACTCACTTTTACAATATGACTGACTGTTTTTAAATTGACACATTTTCAATAAAGCCAGTAAATTTCTATTTTTACTTATTTGATGGCAATATAAAAGCTAGAGTTAGTGCTGTCTATCCATTTTAATCTGAATGGATAGACAGCACTGATAATCCTGATAATCTGCCATCCCTCTTTGTATACTTGCATGAGATTTTTCCATATCGATTTGCACAAATTTATTAGAGTATTTGAACAATACTCAACTATTTCTTGTTGGAGAATGATAAACACATTAGTGTGGTATAGTAGATAAATTATTCTTTGCAAAGTTAAAAAAAAAAAGTTAATCTCAAATGACTGAAATTCATATTTCATATAGGCTGATCTTAATAAGAACTGGCAAACTTATTTACTTCAGATGAAATCTTCTGTTATTCAACATTTTTTTCTGTTCTGCCTGGCTGTGGTGTTTGGACAGCACAACCAGCAGAGGGTGACCTCTAAGAAGCACAGAGTCGATCCTAAAGTAGTTCTTTTTTTTTTTTAAGCAGCTTAAAATAATCTGAAAGAAAGCTGAATCAGCTCTCTCCCTCCCTGCCGTTTTGTGATCTAAATGATTAAGAGTAGAGCCTATAATACCATAAACATACTAAAACTCAAGAAGTTACTTTAATAGGTACTAGATTATTGTTCTTTTTAAAAATTGTAATGTAACCGACTGCACTTCTGGTAACTTGATCTGGTGTAGTATCATAACTTGGAACCAACAAGAAGTACAGCTGCGGGAGCTCACACACCAAAGCATGAAAGAACAATCCAATTCATAAAATTTATTTTAGTTTAAGCTTAGTTTTAGATCTGTGACAGGTCACCACTGGTAACAGTTTCTGTTTTAATTGTGCTTTATAAATAAATCTGACTTGACTTGACCTTGTGTCAGGGAAAGAAAGGACTGTTTTGAATGGCGTAACATTTCTACAATCAGGACTAATCTGTGGATTTGTGCTGCAGTGGTGCCCTTAGGTCTTTGTTGCCATGGTTCTGCGGTAGACAACTGTCTGTCACTAAATCTGAATGTCTCAATTCTCCACAGTTGACAATGCTAACTTTCTGACTACCTTCCCTAAATCTTAATTTAAAACTTTTCGTCCTGGAGGATCGTAATTAACACTAGTGTTGTACACTTGATATTTCAGGCATGTTTTGTGTAACTGATATGATTTTGCTACATTAAATGATTTGGAGAGGTTGTTTAAACAATTTCATTAAGTAAATGGGTAGTGCAATGGATAGTTTCTCAGAGATATTACTGATAAGCTGTCTGTGAACACCAGACAGCTACAGACGCTGTAATATTAGTGACAAGAGGGCGAAGGTGCTAAATACAAAAACGTATAAGCTTTTTAGAAAACATAATGCCTCGCATGTTTTTTTTTCAAAAGCTTTCATAATTTTTTGCGCTGTTTCTCTTTTATTTATTCTATTTATTTATATAAATTATCTAAATATTACATTTGCATCTGTGATTTAATATAGAAACTATTCAAATATTACAAACAATTGTTGGGTAAAATGGAATTGTAGTTGATCTAAGTAAGTCGTTTAAAAAACTATGTATTTAAGATAACAAATGTATTATTTTTGGACTGACTGGTATAGTAACATTAGAAATTTATGATGAAAATCCCTGCCAGTGTGCCGTTAGTTTAATCATTTGGAATTAGCGCACAGAAATTTATGAATTGTTTCTAATACAGCATCTCTTAAAAACAGTCAGAAAAAATATAAACTAAAAGCTTTTATAAACAATTACGTGCTGGATGAAAAATATTTTCATAGTACTTTCATAAAACTAAAAAATAACCTTCCAGGTTAAGTAAAAAAAAAAAAAAGATTCAAGCTGCAATTTTTTCTGTTTCACTAAGTTGCTTTTGCACACTTGAGGTTTTTACAAGCCCTCGCAGTGAAAACCCTCTATTCAGGCAGCAGGTGCAGGGACAACGCTTGACCAAAGGCTATGGCATCCCACACACAGGTTAGCATCACTGCTGAATTGAAGCCCCTTTATTTCAGGGCTATCCTATTCTCTAGGGTGCTGGATGACAAGTTAATTGGGTAATTGGGTTTCTTGCACATGCATCATGCTGCTCAAATTGGGTTACATTCCCCCGTCTCCTGGTGGAAATATCAGAATTGTCTGACGAGGCCAGACAGAAGGCAACACCTCCGGGCTGCTTGCATGTCTATGGGAGGGCAGGTGGATACAAAAGAGGATAGACAATCAGAGGCAATTACAGGGTCCAGTGGTGCTGTTGAGACGTCAGACAGTATATTCAGTATCACATGCTAAGTGTATTACTTGTACTTACATTTGACAAGCATTATTGTATTTCTGTTGTATTTCCTTATGTTTTATTGCTTTGAAACCAATCTTGGACTTCTCACCAAGAAGAAACATCATATTTTTATTAAACCTACAAACACTACCCTTTGTAGCATATGTAATTATTGGATGCACAGTTGTTTAATAGATATTTTAGTGCTGTAGCCAACTAGAAGGAGAAAGCTTGATTTACAGTACTTTGTGGGGTTTTTTTTGTTGCTTATTTTGGCTTAGCCATGGTAAATGTGTATAATCTAGTCTAAGGGATTTAGAAGTTACAGCTTACTCTGTAGATTAGTAGCAATGGGCAACTTCAAACTATAAGAACATTGATTTTTTTTTTCTGAAGTTAAAATAGTTTATAAGTTGCACTCTGATGCTATAATTTGTCTTTCATCGTTAGTCTGAGATTGTTTTTACTCATTGTGAACTAGCAGTTTGCCAAATTTTTGATGTAAATGATGCATTGTATTAGGAAAGGAAGGGATTTTAATATTGTCAAATATTAATGACACGAATAAAACATTTTTCTTCCGTCATCACCATTCACCAAACGCATTGTTTTTTAGAAAATGTAAATGCTTTACACCTGGAACGTACAACTTTCTGCATCCAAACAGTCCTTTGCAACACTATTACACACTTGGATCTCTACCCTGCCTTAGATAAATAATGTTACTGATTGAATTTATACACATATTTATATATGGATGTTTCTGTTCAGTGCCCTGAGATGACTTCTGTTGTGACTTGGTGCTATAAATAAACTGAAATGAATTGAATTGGATATCCCATTGTTCAATTCTAATTTTTTTTGTTTGTTTTTTAGGAGCATCTTTCCTTGAAGAAATATATTGTGGATATTCTGACAGATAGTTCTGTTTCTTCTGAGAGTGTAAAAGATGGAGAAGAACGGCAGAAAGCAAGGAAGAAAGCAAAGAAGCTTCGAGCGCGGATGAATTCCAGGTAATAAAATCCTCTTTCTTTCTAATTCTGGATCAGTATGTCGCTCTGCTCGTATCTCTTCATCCTCTCACAAACTCTCAGAACAAAAACTGTGCCAAGACTTTTTATTTTTTTATTAGTGACAAGGAGATAGAAAGCAGATGTTATTTGCATCATTGCTGTCTACAAGGTAACAGTGATGAGCTTAATTTATGACCACTTTCTGTGATTGGGGAGCAAAGCTGCAAATCGATCCGTGGGTCCTAGTCTTTCCTCTGTAAAGAGCTTTCCTCCAAATTGCTGCCACTAGGCTGCCAAATCTAGAGTCGTCTTCAATGTACAAAATGTATGTTAAAGTATGTATGAGCCATGTCTATTTTTCTTCTTCTGAGTTATTGATTTTTTTTAATGATGCATCAAAGAAAATCGATAGTAATCAACAAATTGGGGGTGACGGCGCTGCATGTCATAACCTGGACTTGAGCTCTATCAGTTTAACTCGCTGTCGGAACAGGAAAGGAGAAGACTACGAACAGATGCCATGCTGACAATTCTTATCGACTAATAGAACTAATAAAGATGTCACTGATGCAGATTATGAAGAGGATTCCATCACAAGCTGGATGACATGAACACATAATCTATGCTTCAGTTCTTCTTTGTATGCAGAGCATTGTGCAAAGCACTTTACCGTGTGTTTCTCGTTCATTCATTCTTTCTCTCTCTCTTACACACACACACACACTAAGAGCTGCACATATTATGTGCATACTCACAGTGGTGAATTTAGACCACCATCAATGATCACAAAGCTGGTAATTATTAAAATTTTGCTTAGAAAAAAAAACCTAGTTTAAGTCAGTTTGCACTAATAAAGGCTTTTAAATTAAAAAGTAAAATTCCACATGATATGCAGTCAGCGTACAGTGTTGATTCCAGTTCTACACACTGTAGTACTACGAAAGATTGTACAGTCCCTCCAGGAATTTGTGATGTGATTTGTGACTGTTAACTAATTCAACCAATCCCGTCTGATTTTGCTTAGTTGCAAATTTGACTAAACACCTTATTCCCTTTTCTGGCTTCACTACGTGGAATAAGAGCTTGGGCCTCAACCTGCAACATGGAAATACGCCCATTTTTGCCATCTTATAAAGAGGGGGGGGGGAAATGCTTTAACTATGCAACTTTGATTGCAACATTTTTAGTTACACAATAATCACAAAATGTTCACAAAATCCTGGAGGAACAAATTAGGAAAACATGCAGTTGTATTAATTATAGCAATGATGATGATATCAGAGATTAGGTGATATTTTCTTCACTCTTCTCTTTCTATTCTTTTATCAAGATGATTTTGTTTGTTTTTGCATCTCAGCCATTTTCATCTAAATAAGATGGAGGCTTCATCCATTGCACCAAACATATTATTGATGTGCAGAGATTGAGGGAATGGCATTTTAAGTTAAACAAACACTATGAATTGAAGCAGTCCTTAGCGATATTGATATACAGCGTACATTTAAAAAATATATTTTGTGCAGCCTTGGTGCTACTACACATCTTTCAGCAAATATGTCAACATTCAAAATTCCAGAGCCCCTATCAAGATAAACTTGCTTAAGATTAAAAACTAAACTAAATAACTCTCAAAATAAAGAGTAGTCTAATTTAAATATACTTTTTTTAAAAGAAGAAATGTCCAGAAAAGGGCAGGTTTTATCTAGTTTTTCTTAAATAATTTGTTTTCTGCTACGGTCAAGATTTTTCTGTGACATTTCAAGTTTAATTTATTTTTTAGATTAACCACTGAGTGTGTTGTGTTGAGTAGTTTAGGTTGTTGAAAAAGTAAATTTTTTTAAAGCTGTTTAATTGATCGTCTTTATGATTTGTTTAGTATAGCTGGAGTAATTTTTTAGATGGTTTAGCACTGACTGTTAAAGGACTGGATATACTCTAGTCTCGTTATTGATTACATATGTGATGTTTCTAAAGAGAATATATTGTTGATAAGCTGTCCAGAAGAGCAGATAAATCCTTAGGATGACTAAAGAGATAATTACAGGGTTAGCCATTCATTTATTGTCAACACTTTATTGTTGGTATTCTTGTTTTTTTTTTTTTTTGTACCATTGTGAAACTCAGCGGTGCTTCTAAAGTGACAACACGATCTGCCTCTGTTCGCCATCACTCGGCAGTAGCCCCGCAGAGACCAGCACTCAAAGGCAGCCGGCCTTTAGAGGTCATAAATAACACAGAGCCCCTGTAAACATAAAGGTGAGCCACTTCACCACTGGGTGGAAATGAACCATTTTATTGAAACGCGGTATGGTGTTCGTAAAAGCGAGTGGTTCTCCAGCACTTTTCACAAAGTCGTCATGGGGCCCTGTTGTGTCATAAAGCTGTGCACTCAGCATTTTATTTGCGAGTGTCAGGAGGTGTGATCTGGCCCAGCCCTCTTTTAATAAGAACTGTTTTTGAAAATAAAATAAGCTAATGAAGAGCAGCACGGTGGCTCAGTTGGTAGAGTTGTTGCCTCTCAGCGAGAAGGTTGTCAGATCGAATCCTGGCCGAGGGCCTTTCTGGGTGGAGTTTACATGTTCTTGCCGTGCATGCGTGTGCTTTCTCCAGGTACTCCGGTTTTCTCCCATAGACCAAAAACATGCATGTTAGGCTGATAGGTACAGTAGTCCCTCGTTTATCACTGGGGATCCGTACCCTGAAGAATCGAGAAAAGTGAAAAACCGCGAAGTAGGAATACTAGTACAAGTAGTAAGTAGTAGTTTATTTTATTATTTATATAGATGTATATCAAGTCATTTTAAACCCTTCCCACACTCTTGCAATATTCTACACAATGTTTTTAAATTCTAAAAGAGCTCAGAATGTCATGATTTCAGCTCCCTGCCTCCTCTGCTCCTTGCCACCTGCAAGCGCTCTTGGCCACGCCCACTTCTCTGCTCTGCACGGTGAACAGCTAATCACTTGTTTAACTGCAGCAGGAAGTTTATCCTGCAGTATGGGCTGCACAAAGACGCAGGAGGTGCTAAATAATTAAAAACAATTTTTTTTAAATAAAAACTTCATGCCGATCATGCGGCTCATTCATCAATCAGCAAATGGTGTGTCATGTCCAATCTTATTTTGAAAAACCGTGATAGAGCGAATCCGCGATAAATGAACCGCGAAGTAGCGAGGAACTACTGTAACTCTAAATTGTCCCTAGGTGTGAGTGAGAGAATGAATGGTTGTTTGTCTCAGAGTCCCTGTGATGGACTAGAGACGCGTCCAGGGAGTATCCCGCCCCTCGCACAGTCACTCCTTGATATGGGCCCTAGTGATCCCCGCGATCTGAAAAGGAAGAAGTGGGTAAAGATGATTGATGGATGGATGGATAAGCTAATAAAATTGTAAGTAAAATACAAGTATCCCTCCAGTCAGTGTCCAGGGTTGGGTTCTGAATCCAGAAACCAAAGTCTACGGCTCTGATACAAATTGTTTCTTTCTGTCGAGGGTTGCTCGTGCTCCACTGAGCAGGAAACAGAGTGGTCAGTGTGTTTTTATGTGGGAGTGTGAAACACAAGTGGCAGTTTGTGTGCAAAGGCAGTCTTGTATGGAATACAGCATGAAATTGCAATCACAGCCTTAACTTGTTACTTAATATTTTGCCTATAAGAACATAAAGGCTTGTGAATATAAAAAAAAATCAATAATTGTAATTCTGTATACATCAGATTAATGGGTTACATTGAGGTGTTGACGACTTGATCAAACATTTCTTTACATTTTTGTGTGCATTAACAGGTTTAAATGCATTTCTGCAACAGTTTTCAATCCATATTTTCAAATTCTTCACCTGCTTCTTCCTTTTCGGGTCTCTGGGGTCACTTGTCCATATCCAGCCATCACTGTGTGAGAGACCGAAGGACACCCAGGGCTCCAGTCCAACACAGGGCCACATGTAAACAAACGAGACAACCATTCACTCTCACTCTCTCCTAGGGACAATTTAGAGTCACCAATCAGCCCAACATACATGTTTTTGGTCTGTGGGAGGAAACCGGAGTACACGGAGAAAACCCACGCATGCACGGAGAGAACATGCAAACTCCACCCATTTGAAAAGTGCAATTAAATTAAAAAGAAATGAGGTTAAAATCTATGAAAATCTCTTGGTTTCTGAGGTGTTTTGCATTACACTGTGCCTTCTCTGCTCTTGCTAAATACCTGGATTTATTGCACATTTAACATGACTATAATTAATTGCTCAGCTGTTACTCCCTTTTTAACTTGATACGGTATAAACCTGTCAGAGATTGATATATTAATATTGTGACTCACAAACAGGCCAGAGGTTCTTGGAGCAATTGTGTGCCATTTATTTATCTTGCATGTTTAAAATGAAATATGATTGATACACCTATTTACAACTTGACTTCTGATGCAGTGAAAGCGGTCTTTAAATTTTTATTCCAACAGATTACTTAAGATGTTTTTGCTTTTTTATAAAGATGTTTTATTAATTAACAGATTTTTAAAGTATTTAAAAAGAGCCAACAACACCACTATCTGTTACACTTTCCTCATCTTATTTTTTGGCCTTGCGATGAGGTCATTTATAAATTTCTTCTAAGTGACTGCCCTTGAGAGAGATGTGAACAGTAATTGGTTTGTCCAGGTATGATGTGTTGGGAGTGTGACCAAGCTTTCGAAAGCCAGGAAATGTCTTGATTCCATCAGTGTTGAGATGGATTACTGGAAGGTGCTCTGTCAAACTTTGATCAATAGTTACTTGTCATGTATGGGAATGGTTTATTGAAAGATAAATGTCCACCCCAGTTGTACCCACAAAGGCATGTAAGCATATATTTTGAATTACTTTGTCTCTTTGCCTAATGCCACTCCGATAACAACTTTGACCTTGAACTTTCAAGCAGTGACATAAGCCTTGTTGCCATTTTTCCTCCAAGTATTGTCTGATAATAATTGCAGTAAACAACTTCATCCTCATTTTGTAAAAAATAAAAGTTAAAATATAGACTGATGGCGGTCCCTTCACTGCCAAGGTCTCAATGTTTAACACTAATAACAATTTGCTAAACAGACTCAAACTGTTATCTCACTTTTTTCCTCTTTGATCTTTTGCTTCCACAACTACTGATGGGCTTTCTTTTTCTCCTGCCGTTGCAAAAACACCGTCTGCCTTTGTGTCTGCAGGGCAAAGGAATACGAGACCTCAATGGAAGCAAAGAATCAAGTCCCAGAGTCTCCATACAAAGCCAAGTGAGTGTTTTTAACAATTTTAACGGTTGAAATTTTGACTATTTATTTAATGGTTTCATCTAACATTTTTAAACCATTTTAATATAAAATTCTCAAAGTAATTTATTAGAAAACAACAATAATATTGATAATCAAAACAATGATGATGATGACGGTGTACTTTTAAGATTAAAACAAATAATTTTTACATTCTTTCGGTACTGAATCAAAATAGTCTGATAAAATATTATGCATCATATCCTGAAATGTAATTTTTATTTTATTTTTTTCATTTTTCTTTACTGAATATTTCAACTACAACATGTATTAAAACAGATCTTGTGCAGACCTGAACTGATCCAGTAATAGTTTCAGATCTATTGGTTACATGAAAATCTGAGGTGAAGAAATTTAATTTTGGCACCTTTTCATTCAGGTTGCAGCGTTTGGTGAAAGACCTCCTGAAGCAACTGCAGGGCCAAGATGGCGGGCAGTGGGCCAATAATAAAGCATCTGGTCTGGACAGAACTCTTGGAGAGATCTCCAGAATTTTAGAAAAGCAGGTACAGCAGATAAAATACAGATATCGTACATAAAGTAATTGGGTATTTGTATTTTTTAAAATTATTATTATTCAGTAGACTTGTTTTTAGTGTTTTGAAGCTCCTTTTCAACAATTTTAATACAACATATGCTTGTAAAGAATTATTTTGTTGCCACTCTGGACCTTTTGGTTTGTATTTTCAGTGAATGCTGGTTTTGCAGTCTCACGGTTCCAGTGTGCTCTAAACACACTTGTTTTTGGTTAAAGGCTAACAAAGACCATATTAACTGTTTTTACCGTGCACATGTTGCAAATAGAAGAAGTTCCGAGCACAAAACTAGATAATGTCCAGCGTCTGTGGCTTGCATGACTCAAATGTCACTGTTTAGACAATCGTAAATTTGATTTACCATTCAAAAATTCTTCATTTAATGTAGGCAAGTCGTCAAATTTCCCCTTTTTTTTTTTTTACCTATTTTGCTGCAGTATGTTTTGCCCATATTCTACGTTTGTGTGTGTGTGTGTGTGTGTTTAATTTTAATACCAAAACCCACATTAATATGAAACTGAAGGAAGAATTAAAACACTTGTCATCATGTTTATGATGGGAGGAATATACAGCCCACTTTCTGTAACGAGACATAAATTTCATGCCATTTTGTGGTTTGAACCATCATAACAGCCCTCCGTGCACCTCTCTGAGTGTGTGTATAGAGAGATTATGGTGTCCCAACAGTAATGATGTGGACGGCTGGTAAGGCCATTACCAAATTTCCCCAGAGAGGCAAAGAAAGAGGTGGTGGTGGGTGGCATGGTGTCCTGCAAGGTCCGAGGAGGAGAGCAGCATGACAGGAGTAGCACACAAGCTGTTGCTACATGAGGGCTCCTCCCCTCAGCTCCACATACTCTCAGTGGGAGGTCAAAGGTCAGTGGGCCACAGGAGATGTGCTCCATTTAACAGCAGTGTCGTAGGCAAGAGGCAGATCAAGGCTGTGTCTAGCAGCTTTTGCGTTGTCTTTTACTTTGTTTCAAGCAGATTGCCACCCTTGTGGCAAGTTCTACTTCAACACCTTCTTTCACGGATATCCAGCCAATGTTGTGGTGAACTATGATTCACCAGAGTGACAGCCTGGGTAACATTTCCCTGCCTAATCCTTTGACAAAGTCAAATAAATAGTCTGTATCAGCATTGCTGTCTGGCCCCTGAGTCACTTCAAATTGGGGCCATTTAGATTATTTGACCTAACAAGTATCCCTCATGTCGTTGGCTCACCTAGAGATTTGTTTTTTCTCTCCCATATCTGATTCAGTCTCCACTTTCTTTGCTAATTCCTTAGACAACACTCAACCCTCTCCTCTTGCGCTGTTGTTTCCACCCCCTCCCAAATCTATTCCTCCTCCTTTACATGTTAGGGTATAACTAGTGATTGACCCATGTGTGTTTCTCCCTCTGTGACCCCTAATTGTTTGATTTGTGTCAAACTTGGATTTTTTTCACTTTACTTTTGGTGATTGAAACGATCAATTGAGGGTTTTTTTCAGTTCTTCTCTTTATTGTACACTGGCCTAGCTCTAAATCTCTTCAAGTTATTAAGTATTTCCTATGACTTTCACTTAACTCATATAAAAAACAGCAACATGTTTGACAGGTCGTAAACTTTTAGGAACAGGGCTCTCCAAGAGCCAAATAGACTATATTAACATTTTGATTTGGTAGCTGTCAGTCTGGTTTGATTGACTTGAGGGACTGATGGAAGTTGTCAGGGGACATGGTGGGGTGTGTGGGGTGAAGCATAGAGTAGCAGGGTAACGAGGTTTCTTGGATGGGCCTTCAGCAGACTGACAGATGCAACCCAGGTCAGCAGTGACACAACATGCTCAACTTTGGCACAACTTTTATCAGAGGTGAGCCCCAGTTCAGTTTAGAATGGTTCCATTCGTAGCCCAAACATATTTTACTGCTGCATTTAAATCAAAGAGGCACAACACTTATTAGACATAATAATGTGACCACCTGCCTTATACTGTGTAGGTTTTCCTCTTGCAGTTGAAATGGATCTGACAAATCCGGAAAAAAATATAAAATATCTAAGGCTGTGCCTGACTTTTTTCCCCTGCAATGTCTGGGGTCTCTTTGTATTGGTTCTTGTACCATCAGATCTTTTCAGATTTGTATCTGGTTTGAAACTCATGAGGTACCTTATCAGTCAGTTACAATTCAGAGGGTTGTGATGCCCAAATTAAAAAAATATTGATGCATTCTGATCATTTTAAATGTAAATTACTATGCATCAAAGTTAAGTCAGATTTCTCTGGACTTTTTTTTTTGTTGTTGAAACATTTCATCCTTCATCCAAAGGACTTAATCAATCCAAGTTACTACAAAAAAAAATGTCTAGAGGACCCGACTTAACTTTGTTGGATTTTTTACTTGGATTATTGAGCATGAACTTTGATCTAAATTACTACGGTTTATTTTACATAAATAAACTCATATTTATATATTTTTATATGCACAAGTGACCCCTGTGACCCAGAAGGGAAGTGGGTAAAGATAATGGACTGATGGATAAATGGTGTCAAATAGATAAATAATAAATGTAAATGATGTCAAACAGTATTACTGGTACTCATAGACTGCTGACCAACAATTAGTATAGATGCCAACTTTACATTGAAAAGCTAGTGCAATTGACATTGTTCTTTTCACTAAAAATGTAAACACAAATTAAACATTTAAAAATTATTACTAAAGAATATTATGATACCTTCAACTATTGTTTACTGGCATTTATTCTTCAAGATTCATCTTATAAAAGATAAAAAAAACTGTGAAAAAACAGCAATCTGCACATTATTTAGTACATGAATCTACAGTAACTGTTAGGACGAACAACAGGCTACTCTGCTGACTCTTAAAGAGGCAGCACAATTTATTGTTGACTAAATGTATTTTTGACATTTGAATCTTTTTTTCTGATTTACTTTTCCATGTCCGCTATTCATCCAAAAATAAAATGTACCTCCCGTCTTTAGTATTGGGGGACCTTAAAGGCCAGGTGGCAATGCCAGAATTTGCTACATTCTTTTTATTCGCTGGTAGATGAGCTGCTACTGCTAAAGAGTTGTGTTGCCATGGAGAGGGGTCGAGACACTGGTCTGTTAAACGTGCACATTGACATAGATCTGGACATTGTTCCAATACTGTACAGTAGTCCCTCGTTTATCTTGCGGGGGGATCTGTATCCTGAAGACCCGCGATAAGTGGAAAAACCGCCATGTAGGAATATTAGTACAATTAATAGTTTATTTTCATTATAATATAAAGGTGTTTTAAACCCTTCCCACACTCTTGCAATATTCTAAACAAGGTTTCTAAATGCTCTAAAAGAGCACAGAATGTCATGATTTCAGCTCCCTGCCTCCTCTGCTCTTTGCCACCTGCAAGCATTCTTGGCCACGCCCATTTCGCCGCTCTGCACGTAGGTCAGCTGATCAGCTGCAGCAGGAAGTTTATCCTGCAGTATGGGCTACACAAATGTGCTGGAGGAAGCTTTTTCTGCGCTTAATGTTTGACCTATAAAGCAGCATGCCACTGTGTGCTAGAGGGAATGCTTGCTGTTCAACTCAAAAATACCTTCTTTTTCACTTACTACTTTAAAATAATTATTGCTAAAAGTACGTTTTGTGTATAAACAGTATTTGTGGCACTCAATATGTCACCTCGTGTTATTAAACCCAAAGGTAGTGAGTTGGTAAGTAATGTAAGTTTCTTTCGGTTACCCCCTTCTGTTGCCACAGCTAGTGATGGCTGATTTGGAAATTGTTTTACGCCAGATGCCCTTCCTGATGCAACCTGGGCTTGAACCAGCAACCCCGAGTTAGTATATAATGTACAAAATAATTTTAAATAACCACTTGGTTCATTTTCTAAACCTACACTGTGAGCACGGATTAAATACTGAAATTCATATGTTGTATCAGAGTCAGAGTTTCTTTATTGTCATTCGCACCTCATGTGGTACATGTGGTGGAGCGAAATTATGTACACAAGGTCCCAGTTACATCCAACAATAAAATGTATAAGAAAAACAGTAATAACATCTAAGATATGAACTAAGAAAAACATCAACTAAATATACACTAAGCACTCATAACATAAAAACATTGAACATCAGCACAAACATGAACATGAGTCTGTGAGCAGATGTGCACGCATGAACACATCAACATTTAAACAGATCAGCAGCACCATGATATGGTTTTTCACAGTGATTATTCTGGTTAGAGATTCATGAGTCTAACAGCCTCAGGGTAGATTCCTCAGTCTAGTGGTTCTACACTTAATGCTCCTTAACCTCCTTCCTGAGGGGAGTGGGGCAAAAAGTGTGTGTGCTGGGTGAGTGGGGTCCTTCATGATGCAGGTGGCCCTCTTCCTGCATCTGGAGGTGTAGATGTCTGTGATGGTGGGGAGGCTGATTCCGACAGATTTCTGTGCAGCCTTCACCACTCTCTGCAAAGCTTTTCTTTCTGCAGCTGTGCAGCCTCCATGCCACACATTGATGCTCGAGCACAGGATGCTCTCCACTGCACACCTGTAAAAGGAGGTGAGGACTGAGCTTCCCAGACCAGCTCGCCTCAGCCATCTGAGGAAGTAGAGTCTCTGATGAGCTTTCTTGATCAGGCTGGTGGTGTTGTTGCTCCAGCTGAGGTTGTCATTCATGTGTACACCCAAGTACTTGTAGCTGGAGACCACTTCCACCGCAGATCCTCTTATGTTCAGGGGGGTGTAGATGTTTTTGTTCCTTCTGAAGTCCACAATCATCTCCTTTGTCTTCTTCACATTGATGTGAAGGTTATTCTCTTTGCACCAGCTCTCCAGGTGTTCCACCTCTTGCCTGTAGCTGGACTCATCATTGTTTGTGATGCATCCCACCACCGCTGTATCATCTGCAAACTTTACAATGTGACAGCCTGGATGGGTAGCTGCACAATCATACGTGAGCAGAGTAAACAGGAGGGGACTCAACACACATCCCTGAGGAGAGCCCGAGTATAAACACGAGTTTATGCTTCTTAAAGTCTTGAAAAACATTTACTGTAGCAGCCTTGATGTGGGTTAAAGTTGGCTTTACCCACTTTATAATGGTGACGTTCTTCTGTGCTGAGTGGCATTTGGATACAGTGTGATTTGCATTCTACTTGTAAAGGAGTGGGCTGCTGATTTAAGGCACACTTTAAAGGTAACATTTGTTCTTAATGGAGTTTTTCTTTTGTTGCCCATCTGTTTGTAGTGCTGCATCACTGTGACCGTCCTCCCCTCTGCTTTAATTAGTGAGTGTCTGCTGGGTGGAGAATACAGTGAGCAATTTAGCTGGTCTGTTGGGCTGCAGATACTGTAGCAGGAATCACCACCTGCCCGGGCCTTCCCATCAGCTGGTGTAACAATAGTCACTCTGAGTAATAATTAGATGGGACTGACCCTTTTGTATAATTCAGGACCTAATTACAAAGTCTCAATGCTCAGCCATTCATAAATCTTCCTCCTTTTTTATTACCGTAATAGATTTTTTTTTTTTACAGAGAAAATTAGTTTCTCACCTGATAATTAAAATGTTACCATTTTTCTTTCTTTTTTTTTTTGCACCCATTATTGAAAGTCAGTTGATAAATGAAGGGTTCCACTTATGTAGTGAAAATACACAGAGTTAGCCACTTGCCAGTCAAAGGAGCTTCCACCTTTACAAAATAACTGCAAAATTTCGTATTACCGTAAACACTTTTTTTTTTATTACCTTCACTAGAGTTGTCACAAAAAACTTAAATTGCCAGGCCTTGAGCATGAAATGTGTTTTATTCAAGAGTGCTTGGTTTTATAGCCTGGCCTAATTTTGCTCTCTGTGGATATTTGTGCAATACGACTAACTTTAAATTAATCTCACTTATAATCTAAGCCCTTCTTTCTGATTTCTCTCATTGCAACAGAGAAATCTGTCATCAGTGGGGATAAAAAGGAGTGAATAAAACAAAAACAAAAAAAGCTGTTCTGGTTTTCTACAGAGAACAGCCTATGATGTAACTGGGCAGGTCCCAGTTGCATCCTTTAATACCATTTGATATGCTGCTATGAAAGTGCTACGTTTTCTCATTTGTTAGCCTGGAAGCTTTTAGCTAGATGTGTTGATGTTGGGGTTAGAAAAGATCAGTGATTGAGACCTAATTGGTTACACATGGAAACTACTGGTAATGTATAAAAAGGAAGCCACAATGTGGTCTTTTAGAAACATTGCTTTCACTCTAAAGACAGCCACTGAGACATTTCTCATAGCGTTAAGACCTCTTTAGCACGTTAACATTATTTTGTCAGATACACTCTGTACACTCATCATTGAGACTCTAACACCACAATAGAGGAGCAGTCCTCTGAGCAGCCAGCCTGAATGACAGATGAAGAGCTTACCTGTAATTTGGGAAAGCACTTCTATTCCAATGTGTTCAGGCTTGTTAGCAACTTCCCATCTGTGGAACAAAAGCACTGTGAAGTGCATGGATTTTAGTGCTGTCACAGAGCTGAGGGGACTGTAACCTCACAAGGCTGAGGGGTGACCTGCAGTGTAACGCAGCCCCTTGGTAGTTGTCCCCTGTTCCGTCAGGGGCTCTCTGCCAGTTCTGTCGTCCTTGATAGCCTTGGCACAAAAACGCCGTTAGCCAGAACTAGCTCATGGCTTTATATTTGCTCATGAACAACACTTAGTAGCAACAGCACCAACCTGCTGCCAATTACTCACTCATACTGGTAGCTAGGATTAATGTGTCCGCATGTGTTCATGAATCGAATGCTTTTTTTGTTTGTTGGTTTGGTTTTGTTATGAAGAAAGTAAGGAAAAAAGCTACCTCAATAACAATACAATGGTGTTCCTGACTGGATGCGGTGTTATTTATTGTTTCATGTGCCTTTAGGACATACTGTAGATGTGTCAGAGGCATAAATTTGAGTGTAAACAACTGATAAATTAAACTCAATTAAAAGTGATTGCTTTAAACGCATAAAAATATTTTAATGTAGATCTAACAAATGACTCTTCTAAAGTTTACATTAAACAACTTGTTTCAGGTTATATTAGTAAAAATGCAGAGTAAATTTAAAAATTATTTCTGAAATATTAATTTACCTCAGGGACTTAATTTGCTATATCGTTTGTACAGGAATTTTATTTTTCAGTCTGTGGCATGTGTGTTCGAAAAACAAATTCCTTGTCTGGTTTTTAATTTAATTTATTTTCTATTTTTTTTTGTTTTTATTTTCTTATTCCCCTTGGGAAAATTCTAATTTCTGTCAAAGTACTATAATTACTAAATGCTTGTTTGTTCTTCTTTGTTAAATTGAAAAAGTTGCAGCATTCTTTGCAATGCATTTATGCAAACAAACTTGGAAAAAAAAATGTCCAAAACAGCACAAGGTTACAGAGCTTTTACTTTTTTATTTATTTTAAATACCTTACAGAGTTCATTTTGCTAATGCAAATAAGCTGCTCAGATATTTGTTCCTTCATGGACAGAAAAAAACATTCTGAGCTGTGGTGTGTTAACAGAGCAAGAGGGGAGGAAAAAATTTTAAAGTGTCGAGCTTTAAATTGACAGATTCCAGTCACAAATCAAGTATTTGTGAATCTCTAAATATTACTATTGTTAATCTCCTTTTGTATTTTAGTTATATACTTCTAGTTACAGGAAGTAAACAAATAATACATGACAGAAATAACTAAGCAGTTGACCAACACCATAAGGACCTGTTTTTTTTTTTTTTGTTGTTGTTGTTGTTTTTTTATCAGAATGCTTCATATCTGAAGGAAACTTTAAGGCAAGTTCCACAAGTTTAAGAAGCTGCAAATGTTTTAAGATTGCACAGCAAAAGTCTCTAAACAAAGATGTATTGCTGTACAGATTTTTTCCTAACTCGTGACATATTCATTACAATGCTGGATGGACATTTTCTCAGTTTTTTTTTTTTTTTTTTTGCCTGTTGTCATTTGTTTAGACCACCCTGGTGCTAAACCAGAGCCTGCAGACCAGTTGCCTTAAAGTGAAACCTGACTGCTATGGGGCGGAGTCATTCTGTGCACTTTTGAGATTAAACAGGAATACTTGAGGGACCACTTTGTTTGAGATTTTAGTCCCTCAACTCTGTAGGAGAGGAAAAAGGTTCCCTTTCCTCTGAGAGCCATGTAATCCCCTGTCTGCTGGGTCCTCGTTGTCCCCTGACTGTAACCCTGTTTCTGTGTCCTTGGCTCAACAGAACAATGCGAACCAAGTGGCCTTCCAAGTGGGAGGTGGCCTGTCAGCTTTGGAACAAATTCTGCAGGTCATCACTGCTGCTTCCACACCCACTGCCGTCCCCCGTATTCCTCTCAAGTGAGTATGATCACCAAACTAAACCGTTTCATTTCCTTCTTGACAGTGTAAGCATGTCTGTTTTTCTGTTTTTAATAAAAGGACCCAATATTTTGGGAGTGATTTGATCAAGCTTGTGTTTCAAGCCGGCAGGGTGCGCTGCATGTATCAGGACATAAGAAATGAGGGTTTACTTTTTATGATACTGTTAAATATTCATTATGAACCCTTCTTTCCTATGGCTTCTCCACTCAATGGGTTTTCTTTTACCAAAAGAATTGACAGCTCTGCTTTATTTTTCTCTTTGCGATTGTTTTGCGATGCATGATGTCAGCGAGTTCATCCGAGTTCATAACCACTATACTACTTTGTGGCTGTAGTTGCTTCATCTTAATAATTACTCTGAAAATGTATTAACCTAGAAAAGTGCTGCTCCAAAAGGAAAGCTATGACGTTACATTTCTACAATCAATTTGTTTGTTCCAATCCCTCGAATACAGAACGTACACATGTCCCATATATTAAATAAAGCAGAGTATTTTTGACTTGGGGCGTCTATCAGTTCCATAGCCTGCCAGTAGATAACCTCAAAGGGGTTTCTGGACTCAGAAGTGGGACTTTGTAATGGACTCGAATGGCCTTGTGCTCCCATTCATTAGCATTTACTGGGCTCTGAGTCCCTGCTAATGGACAAATGCTTCTTATATTTATAAGGCTTTTAAAGGACATTGCATGTGTATTGATTTTTTTTTGTAGTCTCTCAATCTTTCAGTCATTGCAATATGAAGGAATTTCAAGCACCCTTTTGTTTAAAAGAAAATTAATTCCAGTGGAGGAATATTCTTCAAGCACAAAATGTTTGATTGCATAAAGTGTGCACACTTAGATAAGAACAATTCTTGATAGTTTTTGTTTGTTTTGCTGCAGAACAGATAAGACAAATGTGTCCATTTCCTGCTTATGTTTAAAGCAAACCCTAAAATCCAAAGTGAATTATTTTTATCAGCGAGTTCAGAGTTGTATTTTATTGGCTTTAGTCTGTTCAATGTTGATGGCACTGCTTGTTTTTGAACCTTAGCTCAGTTCATAGACATTTACTACCACATAAAGTGAACACAACATGCTGCTTCTGTGGTTTATATGTTGTTCATCAATAAATTTCACTTGGTAACACTTTAGAACTTGTGAATAAATCAAACCCTTGTTTATATTGGTCATGTTTTAAATAAATGCCAATAGATCCTTCTCTGTAAAACACAAGATGGATCAGACTTGGCTCTTGTCACTCAAGTAGTGAAGTTCGTGATGAGGTGCAACACAAGGATGCAGCCCAGCTGTCTGCTTATCACAATCTGTCATCTATATTTTTGTGTGACCTAATTGGTTGCTATACAAAGGCTAGCCCTAGTGTGCTACATTATCTGTTTACAGAGATGCTGCCGTATTGATCACCTCCTCCCACCAGATAAGCGGAGTGATTTACAAAAAAAGGCAGCTGCCGAGAACCTTATGCCATATCTCTCCCCAGGGAGTCTGCTTCCATCTTGTTACCATTACATTAATGAGCTAATTCCTCTACAAGCCTCTGCTAATGTTCTGGTGTAACCCCACGGTCACTGGAGTGTGTAGATCAGCCTTTTATGCATCTGCCATCATTGACCTGAACTGGTGTGATGATGTCCTGTAAAAAACAAGAAAAAAAGCATTGCAAACTTTTTCACAAGCAGCTTTACTAATGAACAATCCAGGAAGTTCACTAATTATCTCGAACTTGCTTGTGTTACTGTAATTGTTTTGTCCAGTAACACCTTTTTGTGATCATCTACATCGTGTGATGTTCGCGGTGTTGATTTTTGAGATAGTTTAGCAAAATGTCATAAGATTTCATAAAATTCATAATTACCTTTTTTATAATTGTACTAACAATGTTCTATGTTTAGTTTTATTGTTTTTGTTATAAAAATCAACATTTTGACAGGAGAATGCTTTATTAACTCCAGATAATAAATGTTCAAGCCCTTTTAAGTCCTTTGTAATTGAATATTGTAAAAAAAAAAAAAATAATTTTTAATGTACCCTTTATTTATCCAGGTAGTCTCATTGAGCCACGAGAACTCATTTTCAAGAGAGACCTGTTTTAGGGAGCAGATGGTGGGGGTTAAGGCCTTGCTCAGGGCCCCAGAGTGAGGTGAATGAGGGTGAAGGGAGGAGTGGGTATTTCACCTTTTCCACCCACATTTTGATGTTGACAGTACTGGGAGTTGAACCTGCGACTTTGCGATCACAGGCCCATCTTCTCTAGCCTCTGTGCCACCACTCCTTCAAAACTTGTACTCCTTCTATACTGTGCGGTACATGGTAAATAGACTAGTTAATTGGATGTCCTATTATTAAACAGATGTATAGGATTTTTTTTTAAGTAATTGCCCATTTATTGACTTTCTTAACTGTCCAAATTATTTTAAGTGTAAATTATTATTTTATTTTTTATGTTAAGCTTGTTTTTTGTCAAAAAAAATAATATCCAACTTCATAAAAATGTAATATAAATTAGTCACTATCTGCTTTGATTTCTAAAGATGAACACCGGTTGTTAAAAAGCCTGTACTGTCATAGCCAAGCTTTTGTTTACTTCTCAGAAAACTAGTAAATATTATTTTAAAGCTTTAAATCAAAATAATAATGAAGCAGTTTTGTTGCATTCAGTTGGAAAAGTACATTAAAGACCCAACGTAGGTGTTTGTTTTTTAATGGTTCTACATTTAATGTGTGCAGAACATTTGTTCAGTGTAAAATTAAATTTTATTTATTTTTTTCTTATAAATGAATGTACGGTAGCCCCTCGTTTATCGAGGAGGAGCCGTACCCTGAAGCCCCGCGATAAGTGGAAAACCATCAACAGCCTCTTGGCCCCGCCCACTTCTCCGCTCTGCAGTGGAGCTATGACACGCTGCATGAAGAAGCTTTCTCTGCAGCTTGGGCTGCACACTGGTGCTAAATAATTTAAAATTTATTTTAAATAAAAATTCCATGCCGATTATGCGGCTCATCCATCAATCAGCCAATTGTGTGTCATGTCCAATCTTATTTTGAAAAACCGCGATAGAGCGAGTCCGCTAAAAACGAACCGTGAGGTAGCGACGGATTACTGTCGTATTACAGGTACACTTTGTTGGTAGAAAAAGTTCAAGTCATAGAAAATACTTTCATCTGTTCTACATAACAGAGTTTTAAAACCATTTGAAAGAACTCTGGCTCTTTTTTTTTTTTCGTCAAAAGTTTGTGATGTTTTGTAAATGAACTGCGATGATGACGAGTCAGCTCCAGAGGAACACGCGTGCTAACCCAATTTGTATTTCAATCACTGTCTCGCATGACCTGGTGTATCCTGTGAAATCAGACCTGCTACCTGTGGTTTTATTTCAGGATGTTTTCCACCATTCGTAAAAGTGTGTATGTGTGTGTGCACACTTCTGTGAATGGCGCTGTGTGACGGCTCATCAGATTTCTCCTCCTTCATACCTGGCCAGTGTGGCACAACAGCCAGAGTAGATGTCTTGGAAGCACTCTGGGTATCAGAGAGATCAACAGCAGAATCAAATTAAATGTCATTTAGATTGCAGTGAATGAAAGGATTGTTTGACACCACAAGGAAATGGATTTGCTCCTCACCTTTTATTTTGGCTTAGGATTCTTTTTCTTCCCCTGTTTAAGAGGCAGGGGGCTCAACCTGATCTGGAAGTTGGTCAGATTTCTGCAGCACGGCTCCCGTCGGGCTCGACTGCACCCATAGGAAAGACACAGAAAAGGGTGAGGAATGTGAGACTCGGGTTGAGGAGAGCAGATCTCAGGGATGATATATCTTAAAGCAGTGACAAAAAGCATAAAGAGCCTTTTACATGCTTATTTTGTCAGCTCAGCATAGATTTGGCAATTTACCTTAATAATTTGACTAGAGTAGAAAACTGACATACTTCTTCACATCAGTGCTGGGGAAACACTGTAGTTGTTAGTTTTGATTTATCCCAGAGAATCCACCAGTCACTAAAATCAGGCAGATTTTTTAGGTATTTTGAAAACAAAATTTTTTGGGAGGGTGCAGTTTTTCTGTTGTTTTGAGCATTAGGATCTTAAATTCAGAGGTCAGTTGTACTAATCCTCAACTAAACCGCCATCTTATCATGTGTGGACCTGTGGGCTACCAGGTCAGAGCCCCGGAGGGCTGCAGAGGGGTTGGACAGGATCAGGTGTGCACCATTCTTTTACCTCTTGGCCTCATGTCTTTACAGACCTGAAGAGATTTACAGGTAAAATAGTTGTAAGATGTTATCCAGTTAGTGTTGGAGAGCAGATTACATTGCCTAATTAGGTGTGTCTGACACGCTCTCAATCTGGTTTATCAGCAATAAATCCCCACCTTTAAAGTCCATCTGGTGAACTTTTCAAAACAAGTTTGTGGTTTTTGTTTCCAAAGCAGAATTGCTCTGATCATAATCATGCTGTAGGTGAGTCGAGGGGAAAAAGATGGTTATGGTAATTTTTAAAGCCTGTCGAGTATAATCTTTGTGTAATGAGAAACCCATAGCGGTAGAGAACTGTGACTGAAATGGATGGGCACACCGCAATCCACAGAACTTTTTTTTGTTAGCAACATGAGAAAGCCTGGTGTGGCACTTACCAAATTGTTCCTTAAAAGAGCTGTCATTGGGCTGAGAGGGGTGGGGGGCCTCAGATTGTGAGATTCCCAGAGAGGCTGTAATATCAGGTGTCATGCTCATCAAGCTCAATTAGGTGGGGGGAAACCAAAGACGGATTGCTGCGATTGTTCATTGTACAAGTTGGTGTAAGAGCATAACTCAGACATGCCTCTGACAGTCTCCTCATTTGTTCAGAGATGACCAGAGACTGGCCTGATTAGCCGTGTTACAAAGCAATTGCATGCTCATTACGTGGAGCTGAGGGCCCAATCTGTCTCTCCAGACTTCAAGTGATTTCATTAGATGGTGTTTGTCATGTCGAAGAGAGAAAACAGCCATCATGTGAAATAATTACAACTTTAATGCTGGATAAACTGAGGCAAACAGCGGATGGATGGATTTCTTTCTTTTTTTTCTTTTTTTTTTAACAAGAACATTTTAAACTCTTCCTGCTAAAAGAAAATGAAGCCAGAGAAAATATGACTGGTTTTTTTTTGATAACTTGAATTATATGATGTCCTAAAGCTTTTATGTATGTATTGTATGTTCTCATCATCACCCCCCCACCACCTGCGCGACATCCTAGGAGATGCAAAAGCACCAATGGCTGCATCGCTCACTGGGCGGCCTGTGCTGGGACCCCCACCCACGCCACATGTTGCTTTTTTTGCAACCCTCATACTAGCTATGTTTACATGCACAAAATTCTCTTGACCAAATTGAAATGTTTTCAGATTAAATAATCCGAATGTTTTGTTTACATGGGCACAATCCGTTCATGATGAGCATTTACATGCAGTGGGCTTTTATTCTGAATAGAAGTACTGACATGCACAGATTGGTAACATTTCCTTAAAAAACACAGAAGAAGAAGTTCTACTTCCAGGATGAACGTAAACAAAACTGAGCCCCCAAAATGGACCTGCGCCAGGTTTTAATGACGGTGGAGACGTTACTGCACTCCCTGACTGAGCTACAGGTAATGCAGATAATTTTGAGCTCTTTCAAAGTTTCTAATAGAAATGTGTCGCTTATCGACCAGTTTTGCTTCCCCGACATGCTAATATTATTAGCATCTAGTCAGGTGGAAAATACATGAGGTAGATATAGGTCGCACATGCGCTGTCGGGTCATTTTTCCACGATCGGAATAAAATGATCAGATTAAGTGTTTACATGCACACCGTTCGGATTATGAATCGGTATAAACCTTTCGTTGTGCTTCGGTGCAATAACTATAAAGCTGATTTTGGTTCTCTCCAGTCCACTAATTACTTTCTTTACATTTAGTTGAGTGGATCAGATGAATTATATTTATCGCTCGTTCCTTATTCTTGACAGAACCTTTGCATACTCCATACACATCTTGGGACAAACTAGCAAATGAAGTTTGAGTCTCAGTGTAACCTGAATGCCACTGACCCACATGAACTTTGTTTCGCCATTTAAACACATTTCTTTGGCCGCAATTATGTCTGTCCTGCCTCGCCATTTAATCTGTGATAGATAGAAGATAACCCCACTATTGTGCTCTTCTTTACTTAACTGAATAATCTCAAATGCTACAATCGTGACTTGAGACCCCTGAAGTAACTCCTGCCCTTTGGAGGAATGCACATGGCTGCTTTGACTGTTCTCATAAGATGCATGAAACATATAATTATACCAAAAAAGTATTTGAGTTGTCGTTTTGGTATTTGTGTAGAAGCTTATCTCCGTCTTGCGTTCACTCAACAATCAGAGTCTCTGAGAATCTGATGCTGTGAAGCTGCACACAAAGGATCGTCTGCCCAGGTTCTCATGTTACTCTCCCTCTTGTTCCACAGTCTGGCCTGTCAGTGTATTCAACCATTCTTTTCGTTCTTTCACAATGTCTTTTATTATTTAATAAGGAGCTGTCATTATTTGTCACACACAGACGTAATGTTCTGAAAGAAAGTTCCTAATGTGATTTTATTTTATTTTATTTTTATTATTCTGCTGCTGCTTATTTTATTGCTTTTAGGTGGTAAGCTTTCACAACAGTTTGAAACTTGGCCAAACACTCAAAATGTTGTGATTCTCACTTTAACACCACATTCCATGTTTCACAGTTTTATCCTGCTGTGTCAATATTGACACGCTGAAATGAGTGACGTGCCTGCGGAAAACCCAAAGGCTAGCGATAGTTTTTTGGCAGACGTTGCTGAGCGCTCGCCTCATGCCGTTTCCTCCACCATGCCAGAGTGGTTTGACTGAAAACGCACAGCAGATGTGAAGGTTCGGTAGATATCAAAATGTTTACCAGTTAAAGTAAACACGGCCTACTTTAGGCTCTGGAGAGAGGGATTCCATCTTTCCACCGAGCAGATAGGACACGCTATTCCTGTAATGGATAAAATATACAGTTGTCAGAAAATATTAACTGATGAAACGAGGTGAGGGGGAGTAGCAGTCAAAGCAGAATGATCGGTCAGTTATCAGAAGCATTAATCTTCCCTGCGGCTTGTTGTAGAGCAGACACAACACAGGGGTACGCTGGCTGCTGTTCGGAGCTGCTTTGTTTTATCTCTCCAGCGGAAATGCAGCACCAGCTCGGCCAAGATGGGACTGAGGATTGCACTCAGCACCTCAAAAGGTGGCTGCAGAGGGGAGTCTCCACATTAAGTAGCTGATACGAGTGTTTTATTACTCAAACTCACTTCCGTCCTTGCGCTGTCAGTGAGATATACTTTTGACTAGTGAAGACAAACTGCACCCTTAAGAAACCACAAATAGAGGAGAGTGTGTTTGGTTTCCTAATGCCTGCAGATAATGTCAGTGCCCAGGTCACTTTTACATCCCACATTTCTTTAAATAATTCCATGGGGTGTTTTATTTTAAAGTTGTGATTAATAATTGTTGTTTTGTCTTTCTTTCTTAGATCTCTTTGCGCTGCTGTAAATGTCTACTATCTGGCATGTTCCTGCAGTAACTTCAACTGCTGTTATGTGCTGTTTAGCAACAAGATAGTCTTCCTCATGGACCTGCTGCTGCATCAGCTGACAGTAAGTCAAGGAAAAGTCAGTATAAAATCCAATGAAACAAGTCATGCAAGTCAAATAGTATTATGACTTGTTAAAACTAACTGTATATTGATTATTTAAATATAATTTCATTCAGCCTTTATTTATACAGGCTAATCCCACTGAGCCTCAGAGACTTGTTTACAAGAGAAACCTGAAACTATAGAACTATATATTATATTAATTATATATTATATAAATATAATATTTTATTTAACTAGATTTACATAATGGTCTCTTTTGGTCACTTTTGTTAGTTAGTCAGAATGATGTTGATGGAGAAAAAAAAAAGATGTGGTCTGAATGGCAGCTTTAAGGCCTTTACGTTTGCTTGCACAATTATTGATTTCACTAATATGCACTGTTGAACAACAATATTATCTTAAGATGCTGTGCACCAATAACAAACTGATTTGTTTGCTTTAAAGTTTTGTGAAGACCGTATGGATAATTTCCAAAAAATATTTTGTCAAATGATGAAACGGGTTTTTATTTTGGCTCAGTTTATTTTAAATGATTGAGGCCCAGAAAAGGCAACAGTATTTTCATATTTCTTCCATTTACAATTTTAACCTGCAATGGGTTATTTGCTGTTAAATGATTTATTTTAAGCATTGTTCTCAGGCATGTTTGAACCAATGTAGTGATTCATAAATTATAAGAAATTTCACTTTGAAAATATGCCCTTTTTAAAACCATAAACTTGCCATTTTAATTTCACTAAAAAAGGCAATGCATTTTTCTGGTGTTGATTATTTTTATATTACTTAAAAATGGAGAAAGGCTAGTGAGTCCTACATAGTTTCCCAGGTTTCCCCCCGATTCTTCCTACCAGAGGGAATGTGAACACAGGCAGGCAAGCGGGCTAAATTGTGGCGACATGTCAGCCCATATCCTTCAGCACTCTGTTAGGAGGACTGTAAACACCAGCTCACTCCAAACATCCAACAGTGGCGGCTCACTGGGGCCGCCTACACTCACAACGCAGACAGGACAAGGCGCAGGCCACAGGGTTGTGGTGCATGCATGAACTCCACTGGGGCTTCCTTCTTCAGCTGAGTTCCAATCCAAAGCAGTCATGTTTCCTTAGGGCACAGAGGGAGAGGTTAGCCTGTATACTCCAGTTTATATAAAACATATCCCAGCAGCTGCTCTGCTGATGGACATCTCCAGCAGCAATGCAAGAGATGAACTCTTCTCGTGTTCAGTTTCTCATGCTCCTTTACAGTCTGTTATGGTGAGACGTGATGAAGTTGACAAACTTCAGCTTTAATGCAGGTTTGGTTTGGTTACTGTGCTTTCAGACGCGCACAATGTATTTGTGTGCATGTCTGCATTTTGGTATGTGTGCACATAGAGTGCAGCAATGGGGGTTGCGCTGCCATATGAGCATGCCCCTCATTTAATTAGATTTGTGGAGAATGTCGGTGGATTTACCTATGCTGTCAGCAGTCACCCCGACTGTCGGACCAAACGGGGAGTGTTTTACCTTTGCAAGCTTTCACACAAAGTGGAGGCGCTGTATTTCAAATGTGGTCCTCTGTTCATGGGTGTCTGATCTTTCTCAAAAACTAATTGGGCTTCCAAATTGTAGGCTGTAACTGGCTTTGATTAAAGTCTGTTTGTTTGCGCTGTGTTTACGAGGCTAAAAGAACCATTTAAACAGTCACTTTACTACGATTTTAATGGTGCTAATTACTAATTTTTTTTCTTATATGGTTAATTATCAACCTGGTTAATTGTTTATTTACGAAGCCAATATTCAACTTGTCTGCTGGCCTCCTTAGATAGAGAACTTTACTAAATGGCCTTTCTATGTATGTGAATGTTCCTGTAAAGTGCCCTGAGACAACTTTGTTGTGATTTGGCGCTATATAAATAAACTGAATTGAATTGAATTTGACGCACATGTTTAAATTGTTTCTTATAAACCCCCCTGGCCTTTTAACATTAGCGTTTGTGCTAACTAAATAACTTTTACTTGATGTAAAATCTCTACAGAAGCTTCTTAGCATCAGGTTTTATTAAAAGACCAGAAAACCAGCAGATGCAGCTCAGACATGGTTATTAATTCAGATATTTTAACATTTTGTCCTGTTTTAACAGCTGTATGTTCCAGATGAAGACAAATCCATTTTTGGTCGCAGCGTAAACAAACAAGTCTTTGAAGGTTTCACAACAGGCCTGCTTCAGACCATTGCCACCATCTTGGACTCCCTGTGGCTGCGCACTTCCGAGTCAGGACACTCCGAAAACCCATGGATCCCCTCTTCAGATGTCAAGGCCAAAAGCTCTGCAGCGGAGTCCCTTAACACTCGTGCCCAAGATCTAATCAGGTATTTAGCTTTTAAAAGTGTGTGTGTAACTCTGTTTCACTTCCTCCTCCACCTCCTTTTCTCACCTTTCAACCTTTTTACCTCTTTAAGTACACTTCTCCTGCGCTCTTCTCTACCGTGTTAAGAATTAGTCAACATCCGATTTCCTCAAGAGCATGCCACATGTAAGGAATAGGCTAACAAAATGTCAGATCACTTGGAAAAGGTCCAAGCAGTGTCTTGTTAAAATGGGAGTAGTGTGAGAATGAGGTGTGCTCTGGCGCTTTTCCAGCATGTTCGTTTTCTGCACATCCAGAAACACATTTTAAGTAATATCGGTTTCTGTGGGGGCTTGCAAAGTCACATAAACAAAGAGCACTTCCATAGCTTTGAAAGATCCCCTTGAACCTGGCATTTCAACTGGCTCTGTTGGCCTGGACTGTAGGAGTCGTGGCTGTGATAGAGAAATGTGGACCATGAGGAAAGGCAGGCCCAATGGCGCAAAGCCTGGTGGGCTAGTGCAGTCTTTCCACCATCCCTCCCACAAACCATGATTCATCTGAACAGAGCAGCTGCACAGGCCCACCAATCTCATCCACTGACCCAGTTGTAACCCCAAAATAAGGGGGTGGATGGGGAAGGGGGTGTCTGAGAAAAATGGTGTCGTCAGTCTGATAATCTCAAGTGCGAACACAAGATTTACATCAACCGTCTTTTAATGTATATGTGAGGAAGAACAAAAGATAAAAACATATTAAGCTCTGCAAACCCTTTCTAGAATGTTGGGCTATAAATTTCCTTGCTGCTAATTTAGTTTCTCAATTCCCTTTTTTTATGCTAATGATAAGTTTTATCGTTGCAATCTTTTAAAACTATGATCTGTCACTAGACAAAGTTTTAGGAATAGCTTTTTTTAAACTTGCATAAATGTGTAGAAGAGGTCAAACAAAGCAGTGGAGTTTGGTTCACGATGTCAGATGACCTGAGGTGCCGGGGTGTTGCCATGCGTGCCGGTAATCACCTGCTTTGAGAAGATTTCACTCAGTGATAATTCTAAGAACAAGCCAAATCTAAAACGAGTGACAAGTTAAAGCAGCAACAAGGCTAAGAACTCTGACATGCTTGGCATCTGCAGGGCTGTCTAGATTTTCATAAGCGGTCAATGCTTCAAGGTCTCTGCATACCAGAAGTTTTGAGAAGACTAGCCCCAGGTCAGCAGACTGTCAAGGGCTCAGAGCAGGGCTGGCACAGAGGCCACAACAGCCTTCTAATGACACTATTAGGGGTGATTTGTGGCTGAAAGAGTACAGGGAACATGATCATGAGTCCTGTCATTGGCAAAGACAAATTGTAGATATCACAGTAATAGCAGAAGGTGGAGGGCTTAGGTGAGAGATTGGCTTACACTTGCAGTGCTGTGGGAGAATGAACAGAAAAGGCCTTTGTTTGCTTGGGTGAAAGAACCTTTTTAAAGTGTTTCAAACAAAGTGTGTTTTAGCTGCCTATGTAATAAACCATGTAATGTGTTTGTTCTTATCTGTTTATTCTAGCTATGTGGTGAACATGGGTTTGATTGACAAGCTGTATGGGTGCTTCTTGTCAGTCCAAGGCCCTGTAGACGAGCACCCCAAGATGTCTGCGTTCCTCCAGCAAGCATCAGCTCTGCTGTATAGCATGTGTAAATTGTGCTTTGTCATAACTGGACGGTGAGTTTGTTTCTTATTACACTCCTTAAACATCTCTGATCTCTTGATCGTCTGTAAACACACACCCTTGTCTCTGTCCTAGTAATGACAGACACCAAGTAACTATTGTCACTTCATTGTCAGTAGTGTTCATAAAGACAAGCTCATGGTTACTCAAACAAAGAGTGTGGCTACTCTGCAATCAGCCAGCCAGTCATTTACTCCAGCCAGCAAGCTGGTTACCTCAGATAGAGATAGGCATCTACTTGACCCAGTGCTCTGTCACTCACCATAAACCTTAGCCTGCAGCAGTGGTGGGGGGAGCCCACCCACATGTGCCATGGTGACCTCCATACAGAGAGGTTCAGTGGCGCCGCTGACAGAGGCTAAGCACACAGTCACACCAAGGGACATCAGCACAAGTCCTGACTTCAAAGAATGGTAGTGTAGCATCAGAACCAGGTATTCTTATGCCATGCTGTGCAAAAAAATAAATAAAATATAAAAATAAAAACTTGATATGAGCTGCTAGGTGTTTTAGTTGTTACATAGATTCTAGCTGTTTATAGGATTATTGCTTCATCTTACAAGCTCTAAAGTACATAAACAATGACCCATTGTTTTAGTACCAACTAAAACAATGTTAATTTCATAAAATTTGTAAGAAAACCTCTTTGAAGAGCTTGCAGTCGATGCAGCATCCTCTGAGCCCTGTTCTCTGAGCGTCGTCTATAAAATCACTTAGTAGGCCTGAATAATATTTGGACCATGCCAGTTGCTGTGTCAGGGGATTATAATAGCATTTAGAGGCTGTGTTCTTGCCTAGCAGCATATTTCACACAAAGCCTGTTGGCTAACATCAAGTATCAGCATGCACTGTAGGTTTCATGTCGAGGTCACACACCCTCCGTTCTACAGAGCTGCAAATCATAGATGGAGCTGCTGCCGTAGTCTTAAATTGTCTGCTTGCAGTGACTGAGGGGATTTCTACGGAAGCTGGAGTAAGCTTGATTCCATCAGTGCAACAAGGTAGTTTTACATTTGATAAACGGTACTAGTATGCCCATTCTTGCCTAAAAATAAAAAAGACACTGTTATTTTCTTGGGTATTGATGAAGTCGTATCGCTCGGATTCAAGTAAATCGACTTTGTGTATAAGAAGTTAAAGCTTTCAGCACCTTGTTAGGTTACTCAGTTAAATCTACTACCTTGAAATTACTAGAATGAGCTGCACGTCACCTCGTTATAGTGTTTACTGTTGAAATGAGACAAGACCACAATCCTGTAAGCCACCATTTTTAGCTAATCTGGTTTGTAATTAGCTATACTTGAGTCAGAATAGGGACTGGAGTTGTGAATTAGCTGTAGCTATATACTCTTTGTGCAATGCATCAGTCACAGACTTGTTCTGTTCTATGTTTGTGTGCATTGTCCCTGTCAAATAAACTAACTAAAAAAATTTTTAAAAATCAAAAGAGCTTAAAACATTTAACTAGAATTCTGCAAACAGTTCAGTATGAGCTCATAGTCCGATTGATTTTCCTCCCATTGTAGTTTAGGGCAATCTGAAAATGTTCTAGACATCGTAGCACATAAGAACACATCTGAGAATTGTTTGTGGAGCCGGTCATCCATCAGAGAGGCTGAAAAATCTGCCAGTGAGACAATATAGCTGCAAATGATCAGGAATGTTTACTGTGAGCTGAATAATGCGAGATGCTGCTTCATCATTTTTTATATACAATATATACTTTTGCTGAGCTGTACATTGCTTTTCTGTCACTTGTCAATATTATGGATGCATATAAATACTTGTTATATTGAGAGCAATACAAGAACAGTAAAAAAAACCTTCATCTACCATTCTCATGTTTTAAAGCATCAACAGTAACCTCCACACCATTTTAGACAGATTTGCATGCACACAAACACACAAGGATTCCCTTATTGGAAATTTCACTTTGAGAGTGCATCTCCACCAGAAATTTACCACAAATGCAAAACAAAACACAAACAAACAAATAAAAAACAAATAATATGCATTTCTCCTGTCAAAGCAGTCAGTTTTGTTGGCTTTTAACAGAAGTGCTAACTTCATAAATATAGAATAAAGTCATCTTTATTTAATCTGATATTAAACTAAATTAAACACTAAACTCACAAAATATATTTCTGACCTTAGTTGCCAACATGTTCAAGTATTTTCTTTTGGAGTCCTGTAATCCAGAGTTTATGTACCGGTAGTTTATCCGTTTTTTTTATTCCTTCAAAACATACAGTATGCTTCTTCTTTCTTCCCCTTTAGTGCTCCCAGTATATTTGACAACAAACGCCAGGACCCAACAGGACTCACAGCCCTGCTGCAGTCCACAGACTTGGTGGGAGTGGTGCACACCCTGTATTGTATTCTGCTGCACAGTTTCTCACCAGAGTCCGCGTCTCAGAGTCAAGAACCCTACAGCCCTGAGGTCATCCAGGTGGCTCTGCAGGGCATTCGCTTCCTCAACAGTTATGCCCTTCTTGACCTTTCTGCCTTCCAGGTAAAAATATATATATAAATGTATATCATTTATCAAGTTTACAAAATAGGTTTTCTCTTTTTATACAGGTGCCGTTTGTTTGAGCAAGCATTTCCCTTGGCTGCAACATTTTATTTTACTAGGTGCGGCAAGAGGTCTAACTTTTAAAAAAATAGGTTACATGAAGTTTCTAACAAATATATACTATACTCCTTTATTTTAATAAATCTATGCTTGTGGTCAAATTAATGCTAGTTGATTAGTAAAGAGACATTTTAAAAGGAGTTGTTATTTTAGGAACTAAGCTGACCTGTGGACATAAACAATGGTGCCCTTTGACCTTGGGTCTTTCTCTTTTTTTTTGGAGGTTGAGTAGAAACCAGTGGGTTTGACATTAGGATGGAGCACAAGTGATTATCACTGTACGCACGGCAATACATTATCCACCCTGTGGAGGACGGGGCGACAGCTTCACTGTGCTAAGTCACCACACAGACTGAGAGCCACAGAAGCGAGCCAGAATGCCGTTAATTATTTTAATGCCTTGGGGTAATTACTTTGAAGCAGCTTCCTGTCACTGACCCGCCACGTTCAGGCAACTCAAAACAGCTGGAAATGAAAGTGTTTCTCTGCCGCAATTTTATGAACATTTTAAATTATGTTGCCCTTTTTTTTTTTGGCTCCGATTCGTAATCACCTTGTGTTTCGCATTACTTCACTGCAACAGCTTCTTCACATTCATAGAAGTAGACTGATCAAAATTCAGAGCTTGAACTCGTTCTCCTGATGCTTCCAGAAATGGGTTTTTAGATGCAGATTTTAAAAAGATCCAAGCAGTGTAATTTACCAGGTTTCTTAGAGGGTGCTTTCAGGCGGAACAATGTAACTTCGTTACAATTAGTTAAAATTAGCTAAAATAAAATAATTGTAACAAAAATTGTTTTAATACCGTTTAAATAAAAAAAATGACTAAATGTTTTGTTTTGGGACTTGACGCCAGCTTTAAGTTCCTCAGGTGTTTATAAACGTTACGACGCAGACACACCCAAACTTCCAGAACAAATTACGATGATCTTACGGCGCTCCGTCACACTGACATGTTTAATAAATAATGTCCGCGTGCTCCACCTAGTATCTTAACTTCTAAGTAGGATTGAGTTGCTTTACGGTTGGACCCTGTTTGATTTGCTTATACACTTTAACCATGTATGTTTCTACCAGCAAAAACGTATAACCTTTTATTGCTTCACATCGTGAAGTTGTCACGCACCGTCCACATTTAAAAAGTCCTGCGGCCGCACACTGACATGGTTTGTCTGTTGCTCAGTCTGTTCTAGGAGCTGAAGGCCTCTCTCTGGCTTTCCGACACATCGTCAGCTCGCTGCTGTGGTACTGCACCCAACATTCATCTGAAGACCTGCTGCACGAAGTCATCATCTGTGTGGGCTACTTTACTGTCAACCATCCTGACAACCAGGTAAAATAAACAACTAAACTGACAACAAATGTAGTATTAAAACAAGTCAAATCTAAAACACCATTTTATTTTATTTTTTTATTTTATTTTATTAATTTGTATTTAAGTGACAAATATAAAGACTGGAACTTAAGTTATAAAAAGCATAAGATAAAAAATTATTTATTAGTTTTTACAAATTGTATTTTTTATTTTTCATTGTATAATATTTGAAACCAACTAAAGCATTTTCAGATGACTTTTTGCAATCAGTCCTTATGGTAACATGCAGTATGTTTATCTTTTATTTTTTTATTTATAAAAAGCTTTAAATTTGTCCCAAAAAAAGGCTGGAAGACGTCAATTTATTTATATAGCACATAAAAACAGCAGAAGTTGACCAAAGTGCTATACAGTTTAGTCAAATTAAAATTAAAACAAGAAAGAAGAACAAGAAAATACATCTTGTGTCACTAGGGAAACAAAAAAGTTAACAATAAAACACAACAACAGGAAAAATCATCTAACTGGTTCTCAGACTCAGCCTGGATCAAACGTCAGGGACAAAAGATGAGTCTTAAGCAAAGATTTAAACGTCTCCACAGTCTTAGCTGTCTTTAAACGATCAGGTAAACTGGTCAACGGTTTTGGAGCAGTGGCTGAAAAAAGCCCGATCACCTCTGGACTTCAGTTTGGATCTAGAGACATCTAAGAGGAACAGGTTGGTAGACCGGAGTGCTCCTACTGGAGTGTAGATGTTAACAAGATCACATAAATATGACGGGGCCAGACCTTTTAAATCTTTAAAAACAAGCCGTAAAATCGTAAAATCGGAGAAGATAGCAGTATTTAACTTGTAAAAAATAATAGTAATAATAAAGCAAGCAATACACTTGACCATCAGTTTGATCGTGCATCAAACCTGATTTCAGATGTTACTGAATTTCTAAAATTTTCTTCTTTTTTTTGTGTGTCGTGTGATTATTTTCTCTGGGACGGGTTTCATTAAAACACCCTGAGTTGTGTAAAGTTGTCTATTTAGGATGAAAAGCTTGATGATATCATGTTACCATTCTTCTTCTCATGTATTATTAGTCAGAAAAAGGGTGTAGTTTTGTAATCGTAACAAAAAGCACCTGTTTAAAGATTCATGCCTTGGCACCTTCCTGCCGTTGGTCTGTGTGTCGTCTTTTGTACCACAGAGTGAGCCTTTGTCTCCCCCACCCCCCCGGAGCTGGGCAGTCTGCTTGCCTCAATGTTACAACTACTTAGGAGGCTGTGTGGAAGTGAGCAGGAAGTGATGGAGCAGAGACCTGGCTGCTGTGTGGCTGGCTGTCATGAATGGCCCGTCTATCGGGCCCCTGATTAGTCCTGCTACAGTTGGCTGGGCTTTGATTAGTCTGAGCCACACGAGCGACAGTCACAGCTTCAGTGTCTGATATCACATTTTATGTCTACCTGATTGCAAACCCAACGTTACAGTTTATAGCCTTATTACCGAGTCACTTCCCTTTTGACCTGTGACATCCTGCTGTTCCTCCCTACAAGCTAATCTAATTATCTGAATGTGCAGAATTAGCATTTGTTGGTCATTGCAGATTTAATTAGCATATTATAAGTAGTAATTGAATAAGGGCTAATTGAATTCAGCATTTGATAAACTACTAATTGTGAGACACTCAGCTGAGAACAGCATTGCTAAAATAACATGTGCGACAGGACCTGCTAACGCTGCTAACAAGACCACGCCGCTAACCGATCACCATGGTGCCAACGTGACCATGTTGCTAAGAGAGCCTCACTGTCATCAGAACCACTCTGCCAATAGGACCTTGCTGCTGTAGATTTATTTCTATTTCACTTTTGGCACCTTGTTGCTGTATTGTTTGTTGCATGCTTTGAATAAATCCCAGTTTATGTTAGTTTTGGGGCTCCGAGTCCGACTCCGCTCGCATTAAGCGTGTAAATTATAGCCGAACCGAACCTATGAGAATCATGCTGCTGCTGTTCGGTGCATTGTTTTACACTATTAGTGTTTAGCATATATCTTAGATCTTTTAGTGTACCGTTGGACAATCATTTAGTGTCTTAGTTTATATCTTAGATCCTAATTTACTGTTACTTTTTACACTTTATATTTTTGCTATTGTTTGATGTAACTGGGACCCTGTGTACACAGTTTCGTTCCACCTCGTGTACCACATGAGATGCGAATGACAATATAGGACCTTGAATCCTTGAAAGTTGTGATTTTCTTTTGGCCAGAATCCTTTCATTAATGGCGAAGAAATGACAACAAAACTCCTTTTAAACCTGCTTTAAAAAAAAAGAAGAGTTTTTGGGTGTAGATTGTCAGGAAACAGGATCCACCACAACTTCACACGGTTGATCCTTGCCAGTGGTCCAGTTCCTGGAACGCGTCCATTCGGTTCTGCACCAAGATGGATGGCTTCAAGCAGAATATTTAGAGCAGCTTGAGCTTTTCTTGAGCTAATGTAAGCACTGGCAGGACAAAAAAGCGGCCCGACCCGAGGCCCTTTGCCGTCCCGAAGACTGCTGATTCACTGTCGACACACCAGCTTTTGTTTATATACACGCTTTAGAAATAGAGCTGCTCATAAAAAGCAGATCTTAGAAGCAGCCCCTATATGTAGTGATGTATTCCCTCTGCTTTGGAGGGGCATGAATTATTCAACTTGCCGCACACACACATACACATCAGGAGAGTGACATATGCAGGCTTTTGTGTTTTTATTTGAGCGTCTCTGCTTATGGGGGCAATCGAGCCATGTAGCCATATGTTTCTTTGTTATTTGAGTGCGTCTGTAGAGACCTTCTGACAAACAAACAGAGCTAATTAAATTGATGTTGTCACTGACATATATCTACTTCCTTTTTTCTCTCTGAGGAGAGACATCCCGGTAATCTTCATGTCTTTAACAACAGTGATTCATTCATGATTCATCCACAGTGATGATGAGTTGGAGCTTTTGGCTGACGGTAACTGTAAAATGGTGACATGTTAACCCACTTGATTCTGGGTAGATATCTTTTTTTTTAGAACAAAAGCAATTTCAGAGTGTGGAAATCTTATGAAAACATTGTTTTTTCTTTAGTTCATTGAAAGCTGCCGCTCCCACACAAGCAGACTGAGCTTCACAAAGGCTATTATGTCTTAAAAACACACACAATTGGGTCTAATTTCCCCATGTTTACGGATGTTTTAATGTAGCCGTATTGGTTGCCCTGCGATGCCTTCCGAGACCCCTTTGTGCTTGTATTTCAAAAATTGTTTTCTTTGCACCGGCAGCCGTCCCTTGAGCTTCGACTCGTCTCCAGACAGAACATCCAATACACACATCTCCAGGACTCTGCCTTATCGGTGGGGTCAGTCCTCTTCTTCCCATTCTCTTTGAGGGCGTTTCCTCCACCCTGCAGGCCCAAGTCGGGCTTTAGGTCTATAATTCCTGTTAACCTGATGTTGAAAGTCTTCCTTCAGCAGTCCATTACTGCCAAGACAACCTAGCCCTCACTGCCTGCGGGGTAAGTGCAGCTCGTACAGACCACTGGGAGCCAGCAGCGGGGAAATACACTCAGTGCATCACCCGGCAGAGTAAACACAGGCAGAGAAACGGTGACATACAAGCACGCTCCACTAACTGGCAGGAGAATGTCTGATTGTTAGCGCGGCGCATGATTTACACTCTGCTTCAAGGGTGAACGCAGGTCCAACTTTAAGTGAAGCTGAGGACATTTTTATCCTCGCAAACCTCTCATTGAGAGGTTCCCATTTGTCTGCAACGCTGTCGTCAGCTTGGTTTCAGAGCAGAATTATCAGCAGTTGGATCTGAGCTGGAATGACAGCATCAGCTCATAGAGATAAATGAGAGTTATTAAGGTTTATTGTGTAAACAGTGGGGTTTTCACAGAGCTTTAAAACCAGCCGACGGTCACCTGAAACGTCAAGTTGGAGTGTCTTTGTCAATGTCTGCCACTAACATTGTCCAAAGACGGTTTACACAGCGTCCTGCGCAGACTTCAAGAAGCCGTGGAAGTTGTAAAAAAGCACTAAACGGTTTTGTTTGTTTGTTTGTTTTTACTTTGTGCTGTCTGCCGTGCAGCCTGTCTTATCTGTGAAGGCGTTCTGCTGGATCTGGTTTATTTTGAGGATTTGAGCGTCAGATAAACGATCCTTCTCCCACCCTAGTTCCTCTGGAAGTGTTTGGGTTGTCTGGACCAAATAACAAATATTTCTAAACATTAATGTCCTCAGCACGTCAGATGTATTATTGTAACTATTTTGTGCATTAAGGAATGTTGCTCATACAATTTAAAGATGCAGGCTGAAAGAACTATTTCTTTTTCCGCCCATTGATTAATCTGGCTTAACGACGGTTTGTTCTTCCTTCTCATTTTTCCCAGGAATCTGTTTCGGGACATTAATTTTACACAGTCTTTGTTGTCACTGGGAACAGTGGGGAAGTTATGTAATAAAGGCACCATAAAGCTGTCTGAAAGAAGCCACATCTTTTGAACGTAAGAAAGAACAGAGCAGCCAAGACACTTGAGTTTGCTCCGAGTTCTGCTTGAAATGTGGACCAGATGCCAGTTGAGTTATCTGACACTGAGCTTCGAGCTGGAGATACTTCAGCTGAGCTCTCGGTTCGTGTTTTCAGACTCGGTTGTACCTCTCCACCTGGTAAAAGTTTGGAAAATTGGCAGGCACAATTTTGTTTCTACCTCCAGACTCCCATGTCTTTGTTTTATGTCATGTCTCTTCATGAGGCACTTGAGGGTGGACAATTTGTTTAAGCAGCTGAAGATGGAATGAAGATGCCTGGTGGAGGATTATGAGATTGCCGGGAGATTTGTGGGTCGGATCACCTAAGAGCTCCAGCTCAAACATCCTCTGCTTGCTGCGGTGTTAAATTATGATACATAAACGCTCAGGATTCAAACAAGAATTAAATAGATTCTTCTTCTTCTTTTGCAGAATTATGGTTTTTGAGTTCTGGTGCTCCCAGTTTGTCTTTGGGCGAATCGTCTTAACAAACAAGATTAAATATGATCATAATCTGGTTTAGTGAAGAAAATGCCCTGAAAGAAAGTAGCTCTAAAAGAAAACAGCTTTTTTCCTTCAGTACATAGATTTTCTCAAGTCTTAAATTCCTTTAGGAAAATAAGTTGATGCACGCCAAAAAAAACATGTTTTTCACATTTAAACAGACAAATCTACTGAAACGCATCCGCGCAAAGTAAAACGTTTCAGGTAGAGAAAAGAAATTAGTGCTTACAATTTAAAATGTTTATAATGTGTTTAAGCTGGGATTGACCAGTCTGTGGAGTTTTTTTTAGTTTTTTTTAACAAGTGATCGGAACTGAAACTGTTTTTGAGTCCTTTTGAACACACGGAACGAGGTCAGCTCTGAGAAGCTTCACTTCAAACTGATAAAAAGCAATGACTTATCGCTTTGTTTATCCTGCTGCTCGAGCTTGGAGTGCATTATCAAAGGGGCGGCCAGTGGAAGAGTATTAGTGTGTATTTTGAGGAGGGGAAGAAAAAAAATCTTGTAAAGCTTGTGAATTTATGTCACTGTGACTCTGGGACCTTACTCAAGACTTCTGGTTTCCATTGATGCTGAGCCTGTAGTCCTGCAGCCTGTACCTGTAAAGCTGTGCAGCCGGGATTTGGCACGTTGACCTCCTGCCTCTGGGATGGTTTTTCATGGGCGTCTCAAGCTCAGAGGCGACTGGACCCCCCTTTCTTTATCCTTTTCTATAAATAAGTCTGGGGTTGGTTTGGGATTTAATTCCAGTCACCTGGTTGTGATGTTGTTTGGTTTAGGGCGATAAGAATGCTGTTAATACCAGCTGAAGTTTGCACCGTGAATGACCTCTTCACCTGAGCTTCGTCCTGCCCTGACGTCACGTTTCAACCTTTTTTAAAGAGTTCAACACAAAACTTAAAAGTGTAGTTTGAGCCTCTGACAACACATTTTCCTCCTGTTACCATCACACTATTGACATTTTGCAACAAGACATCCCCATCATTGTGTTTTATAGTGTGTGATTGTGAAACGGGAGACTCTGCCCCCCCCCAGGTCTCCTCCTAATGGCTGTTTGTGTGTTGTTTTAGTGGCAGTTTTACATGTGGGCGGGGCATACGGTGGTGATTTACAGCCAGCAGTGCCACTGACTGGATCAGGGACTGACTGGGCGTCTGCTCGCTGTGTGTTCCAGGTGATCGTGCAGTCTGGCCGCCAGCCCAGCGTCTTGCAGAAACTGTGTCAGCTGCCCTTCCAGTACTTCAGCCACCCGCGCCTCATCAGAGTGCTGTTTCCGAGCCTGATCTCGGCCTGCTACAACAACTCTCAGAACAAAGTCATCCTGCAGCAGGAGATGAGCTGCGTGCTGCTCGCCACCTTCATTCAGGTAAATAGAGGGCCTTTCACGTTGAGAGTTTTGGACTAAAATCGTCGTGTTGAGACATGACAGATGTGTTGACGTTTAATACATACTCTGTGTTATCACAAGATGTCTCAGTATGTGAATGACTCCGTTACTCCCTCATCACATTTTAGCTTCGTATCTAAAATTGTCTCGAGTCAAAGCCATTTTTCTGTTCTCTAATGCCAATTAGCTTTAGTCGTCAAATTGAATTTTATAGAAACCAAAGTTAATCAGTTTCATTAAAATCTGACCTGTGGTCCAAGACATATTTTGCTAACAAATGGGTTTAATTCAAAACATTGATTAAGTTTGAGGCAAAGGCGTCACACAATCGGTATAATAGAGTGGAAGTATGAATTGTGAAGTCTCTGCTTTTACGACAACAAATTTTAGTTCATCGTGTGGAAAATTGACTGAATTATAACCATTCTTGTGTTTTACAAGTTCAGGTGGCTGTGGCGGCCATCTTGAATAGTGTGTGCTTCAAAAGTTAATCAGTCGTAGAAGTACAACCAGTGATTAGTCCCTTAAAGTTTAATTTAAATCTGTCCAGCAGTTGAGATATTTTGCTAACAAACACATAGTTGACTTCATACAAAGTAGGTAATGGGAAAACATTTAAGCAAAGATCTTGTGCAGTCTGTAAACACTCAGAATATGTGTTGGGGATCAGGCTCAGCTACTACCACACCAAATTTTATATCTGTCACAGATCTCTCATGTTGAGCAAGCATGAAGGTGACAGTGGAAAGGGAAAACTCCCTCATGAGGAAGAAACCTTTAGCAGAACCAGGCTCAGATCAAGCGGTCATCTGCTTCGTCCAGCTGAGTTCGATAGGAACAGATACACAATGGCAGGTCAAGAATCACATGTTAAGATAGAAATAGTATCAAATGAAAACTATTCAGTTTTAGCAATAATTTAAGGAAATGTGGTCAATTTGTCCTCTAGTAGTCTAAGCCTATAGCAGCATAACAAGCCAACCCTAACTATAGGATTTATCAAAAAGGAAAGTCTTAATCCCAGTCGTAAAACTGGACAATGTGTCAGCCTCACTGGAAGTCGGTTCCACAAGAAGAGGAGCCTGAGAACTGAAAGATCTTCCTCCCATTCTGCTTCTGGGAACTCTAGGAACCACAAGTAAACCTGCAGTCTGAGAGCGAAGTGCTCTGTTAGGAAAATATGGGACAATAAGGTCTCGAATATAAGATGGAGCTAGGTTGTTGAGGACTTTGTAGGTCAGAAGATTTTAAATTAAATTCTAGATTTGACAGAATTTGACTTGAATCAAGTCGGCTCCACAAGTTAGGCAGTTGTAGACATCCCATCATTCTCAGTAAAGTTCCTCCAGTGATTCTTGACATATTTTGGGAACATCTACACAAATGTATACACAGGCAGAGAAAAGCACCTGAAGGCAAAGGCAACAAAAAAAACACTGAGTATTTGCCCTCCTAGATTTGTAACCTTATCCTCTTCCAGCTGAATTTTTTACTTCCAGAGAAAATCTCTAAAAATCTGGATTATTCTCCACACTTGAGATAATCACATTAGCTGTGCATTAGCTAATTGACGAGCCGCTCGTCTGAGCCGCCGGTGAATCTGTAACAGGCGGGCTTTTACAAAGATAAATGGATTCCTTCATGGTGGATTTACCTGCCACTGGTTCAACTCCCGGTAAACAGTTCCTTCTCCTTCATCTTCCTCTGACGACAAGCGCCCCACTCCCCCCCCTACCACCACCACCAGTCCGCAGCCACCACTGTTTAAACACCGATTAACTCCCATTCAGACGGAGACGAGCTATTGTCGTTTCTTTCAAACAAACCAATAATGCATGGCGTCTTGCCCCGCTGCCCTCCACCGTGCTAAGCTCAGGAGCATTCCTCCGAGTGGAGCGGGTTAATCCTGGACGGTCGTGTTTGCTGAGTAAATCACGACGAGGTGGAAGTGTTACAGCAGCTTTAAATGTTGAGTAATGCAGTTTGTCTTGGTGCTGTGGGGCTTTGTTATATAATTAAAGATGATGCAGGAACGTGCAGCACGTCTTGAAGCTTGTTTTCTGTTTTTAGGACTGTGCTGAAAATGAAAAAGATTCGAACTGTAAAGTCAGTAAAACGGGTGAGTTAAAGTCTGTTTACAGATTCATATTCTTGTTTGCATGGGTAATGTTCATCTGTTGCAGGGTTTTTTTTTGTGTGTGAATTTCTTGCTCTAATTTGTCTGTTTCTATTGTAGTTTTCCAGTGGACGGTGGATTACTGCGAATTATCCGTCCGCTTCCCAAGAGATCAGTGGGATTCAGCTCTGCAGTTTTTTCTCAAGAAGCAGGAGTGATGGAGAGGTCCTCCATCAAAAAGCACACCTTAAATGTTGCTAAAGACACTGTAAGAATGTGGAGGGGGTTCGTTTGGCTTGGCGTTTTGGTCTAAATCAAAAAATGTTCAGTTTGTCAGACAAGCCTTATTATATGTTGCATCTGTTTGAATTTCGTAAAATATTACACTGACCATAAAAATAATTTGCACATAACTTCTTTTATTTTTTGTGTTGTTCGCCGAACACAACTAAGCTGTTTGGATTTATGCGTCTGTTATTCTCTTGATAGAAATAAAAGGTTTACTTCGACAGTGTTTTCTAATTTGCCAAACAGTTTTTCTTAAACGTTTTTTGTGTTAATTTATTGTTCTTGGTGAAATTTTTGAATGTTGACGACTAGAAGAGTTCCTCTAGTCCTCAGAATGCCAGTTACACGTTCGGTCGCACATTTGGCTCGAGATTCGTTTAATTCGTGTATGTTTCACTCTCATGTTAGGAGCATTTATAATTTATTGTTATTTGCCTTTATAATGTTAAATAAACTACTTCTGTTCATGCACTCTTGTTTTACAGTTTGTTTACACACAGGGAGCACGATTGTTCATTTTTTGCCTTCATGTCCGTGTATCACGTGACATATTTTTTTCCAGATAAGAAAAAAGTAATTTGAATCGGTTTGCTTCTTTAAAGTCTGAGATTTATCATTTATTTTTGTTTTACAAAATCTCTTTTCTTAAAAAAAAAAAAAGTCATATTTATGCAGTTTTGTGCTAGAATATCTTTTAGACAACCATCCAAAAGTTGTCTTTCATTTTAACACTCTGGAAGCGTTGAGGTCCACTTTGAAGGCAACAGATTCCTAAGCTTCGTGGCGAGCATGTCTAATATTCTTCTTTTGTGTACTTTCTATATAATTGTCATAAACCTTCGCAAATGTTCAAAGTATTTCCGCAGCTCCCATTCCCTTCGCTGAATAAAATCTGAACATCCCCAACAAATTGTTGAGGTGTAGTGTGTCAGTCCCAGCTTGACCTGCATGCTCTCTTGTCCAGAGGCTATTTGTCGTTCAGGATTCCTGCTGGAATGAAAATAAACTCGAGGCACGCCGGGATGCGTCTGCAAGCCGGGAGTCCCCTCAGCCCTGCGTCTCCGTGCGCTCTGTTCAGAGTCCACTCTGTGGATCCTTTACAGGTGATGCCAGAATGAGATAAGAGGCGGCTGCGGCCTTCAGTCTGTCTAGACTTGTACTTTCAGCTCTAGGCCTAAATGTATGGCACTAAAATCATATAACTAGTACCAAATTTGTCATTTTATCACTTCTACAAGCAAGCCTTGGATCAGGCTGCAAGGAGCCTTAATAATAGAAATAAGAGCCAGTGTAAATATCCAAAACCTCCCAAAATACACAAGCAGGCAGATTAAAGTGGCTGCAGCCTATTGTGCCTGATGCAGTGACCCCTGACACAGGGGGCAAACGCTTAATAATATCTTGTCAGCAATCAGTCACTGATCCACTCGACTCAAACCGAGTAAAGCCAAATATATAAGCAGATTAAAGCTGCCAAGACTCGAAGCCAAACTGAAACTTTCCAATTTCACTAAAAAAAAAACAATTCTTATTTTCAATTGCCTCTGAAAAAGCTGTTGAACCTTTACTAAAAGCGTCTTAAAACGACTTTCAAACTTGTCATTTATGAAACGGATGGATTATGCATGCAATAAGCAGTTGTTTTATTGATACGTTCAGCTACGTCTGCCCTCATAATAAATAACATCCATAATAATAACTTATGCTCTGGAGAAGACGCCAGCAGAGCGCGTCTCCCCTCTGATCCAATAACTTACAGGAGTCGGTACAGATCATGCACAGCTACACAGGTCGGAGGTTCCTTACAAACACTGTGACCTTTGACCTTCTGCACATGCAGGCCCTGTGTGTGCGCGAGTCCCGTCACATATTCCCATCGTGTCCAGGCTCAGGTGTTGGCATCAAGGAGTCCGTGTGCATCCAGCACCGTTAGATGTACACACGCACCAAAATCCTTCAGTCTGGACCTGAATGTGTCCGGCAGCATAATCCATCCTTTGTCAATGAATGTCTCTTTCTTTGTGGATGATGGTGGGGGGTGAGAACTCCTGGGGGGCCTCCAGCTGACCCCCGCTGGCTCCTCACGTGTCGACGGGACTCTGTACCATACTGTTCGGCGTGTCCGGTAACTGAGACGACAGGGAGGTCACGTCGCTGCCTGAGGAGTTTCCCAGGGAGCCCGACTCGGAGAAAGACACCTGAAAGGGACGCGAACGGGTCAAAACAACTCGTTCTAATTCTTTTTTTTTTTTTTTTTTTTTAATTACATAAACTTTCTTGTTAGTTTTTTTTAATGCAAACAACAAATGTGCTTCTGGGTCAAACAGAATGTGGGAACGCTAAACTTCAGCATTTTGCCCTTTTCTGTTTAATGTTGAGGCCAAGGTGAAAATATTAAGTCTAATATCACTGATTAGATTAAAGATTAAATGAAATCAAGCTGCTACAAAACACCTTTGTGCACGTTATTTTAAACTAAATAACCAGGGGATTTTCAAACAAATGCATGCTGTGAAGAAGTATTGGTTTTTCTTTTCTATTTTCTTTAATTCAACATATTTATAGCACAGCATGTGGATATATTTTAAAATATGTTAACAGCTTAAATTAGCTTGAGTCCCAAATGTATAGCAAGAGATTATATGATTGTTTTATGTGTACTGTATGTGTACAACTTTTATTATGTGACTTCTGTTCATTTTAATCACTTATTATCTGACTATGATTGTTTTATTATGTGTACAGCACTTTGGTCCTGTGGGTGTTTAAAGTGCTCTATAAATAAAACTGGTATGGTATTATTTTTAAATATGCAAATGTGGTTGAAGGTCACATTGGGAGTGTGGGAAATCCAAATTTCAGCATTTTGTTTTTGTTGTGATGCCAATATAATCAAAAAAATGATCAAACTAAAGACTGCAGCTGATATCAAGAGGCCACTAAACACAACTTTTAATATAATTTCAAACTACTGGATTTAAAAGCAAGTTTACTTGAATTTGTTTATTATATTTCCAACAAATTTTTCTCTTTTTCCATTTATTTTAAAGCAACCCAGTTTAAAGCCCAGAATGATTTAAGAGAACTGATGAATAATAAATTCTCCGCTGTGTATATTTCACCTTTTGACCACTACATGTTCACACGCACATTCTTTTAGATGTTTTCCACGCTATATAGTCCTATATTCTGACGCACACACTCGTGAGCAGATTGCCCAAAGACACTTGAACAAGGGGCTGGAAATCGAACCCATGACCTCTAGCCTGCCTCTATCTAACCAAAAGCCCCAACCTTATACCCGTTTATACTTTTGTTTGGTTTCAAATTTACAAGTATGAATTGTTTTTAAGATAATGGAATGGATCAAATTATGTGAGAATTTCAAATTTCACTATTATTTTTCTTTTGTTTTTATTAATAGTGGGTCACATCTAACCTAAACACGTCTCTTTGTCTTCCACAGACTAAAGACTTAAACATCACATTATTATAAATAAATGTATAGCCAGCTTTAGATATTTCTCATTTTTGATTTGTTTCCTCATTTTTTTTATGTTTTAAGAGATGTGATCATTAGCAGCGTACCAGTTGTTGGAAGGCAGGCTGGTCCAGGTCGGTCTGGAGGGCGAAGTCGCTGAGGGTTTTCCACGGAGGCTGGTAGGTCTGAACCTCCACAGGATTCCCCTGAACCGTGTGGTCATGACGGATTGGACTGCCCGCCACCAAAGGGGTGCCTGTCAAACCCTGCAGATTCTGCAGGAGGAACAAAATAAAAACATGAAAAACTAAACTAAATAAATAAATAAACAATGTCATAATAATTTGTTGAATGCCCAGAACTGATCTGTAATGAAAGCAAAATGCAAATCCTTGTGAGCAGTTCTGAAATTTAAAGCAGATTTATTTTTGATTTATTTGACTAGTTCAGATTAAAAAACAAATGCAAAAATGCACTTTAATAATTTGGTAAAACATAGTTAAATTAATAAATGACCTTAATTAAAGGATTTCAGTGAAAGTCTGTCAATTAAATAAAATTATTCTAAAATTATTATTTTCTTGTCTAAGGTTTTATTTCAAGTGGGCCCACTGATTGAATCACCATGCTTCAAAATTGATGCAAAAAGACAATAATCCAACTTTTATAATAATAATAATAATATATTTTGAAATATGGTGACATCATTGGGCCTATTAGATTAAAAAGCTCAGACGATAAACTATTATTATTATCATTAATATCATTATTGTTGTTGTTGTTGTCCTCACGGTCTTGTCGCTGTGCTGCTGCTGCTGCAGCTGCTTCATCAGGATGGACTTCTTCTTGTCCTTGCAGCGCTTGTTCTGGAACCAGACCCGGATGACCCGGGGGCTCAGGCCGGTCATCTCCACCAGCTGCTCCTTCATCAGGGCGTCGGGCCTCGGGTTGGCGTTGTAGCAGGTCCGCAGGGTGTGCAGCTGCTTCTCGTTCAGCACCGTCCGGACCCGGGTGGTCTTCTCAGACTTGTGGACGTGGTTCCGGTGATGGGGCGGGTGGCGGACGGAGATTGGGTCTAAGGCCGAGAGGACATGTTGTATATTATTATCAATAATAACGACAACAATAATAATAATGGGGACAGAAACTACCTGTGATGTGCAGCGGTCTGCTGTTCTGGAGGGCACCGGGGCTCAGCGGACTCCCCGCGGACCCCCGGTCCGCCAGCAGCCCGTGGTCGGCCCCGCACAGCAGCTCGTCGTCCCGCAGGGAGAACTCGTCCCCCGGCAGGAGGTGTCGGCTGCACACCGAGCACCTGAAGCACTCCATGTGGTACACGTGGTCCCGGGCCCTCATCACCAGGTCGCTGCTGCAGAAACCCAGCGCGCACTTTGCGCACTTGATCCCAAACAACCTGGGACAGGACGAAACCAGGATCTTAGTCTTTTCTTATTTTTATTTTTTTTTAATATTATGATATAAAGGAAAACCTCTGCCGGCTTTATACCTCGTATAATCTCTTTTACAGTAAGTCTTTCCGTCCCGGACGAAGCACGTGCACGTCTCGTCCAGAAACTGGCTGCACTCCGCGCACTTGAGGCAGGCTGCGTGCCACTCCAGGTCCGGGGAGACTCTCAGGATGTACTGGTCGTGGATCTGACTCCCACAGCCCACACACATAGCGATTCTCGACTTCTCTGAAAGAAGAAGAACGAAAAATAAACAAACAAATTAAATTAAAAAAAAAAAAGCACGAGTGCAACTCTTTTAATAATGAGCTCCATTTAAACTTCATCCAGAAACTGTTCCAACATTATTAAGCGATACAACCTGTTCTCATTATTTGTGCTGTGTTTTTGCCCCAACTAAACTCACAGCAGAATAATAATAATAATGAGACTTAATAAAAAATTAAAAAGAAAAAAAAAAAGAAGGGGGGGGGGGGGTGTCTTACTTTTTGAATGATCCCCCATATCATCCAAGAAAGAAGCGCTGATCAGGATGTCCACCATGCGATCCGACGGCTGCAGACCGGTCCCGGCCCGTCCTGTCCCCCGGCTGGGTGAGACACTTCTCCTCCTCCTGGAGGTGGAGAGAACACAAAGACATAGACATGGACCAGTGACGTCTGCAGGAACCTGGACCTCTGCAGGTCCGGGGAGAGGGTGCCATGCAAATCTGCATGGACCCCCTGCTCTTTTTTTATTCTCTCTCTCTCTCTCTCTCTCTCTCGCTCTCTCTCCCTCTCTCCTTCTTTCTTTCTTTATATTTATTTATTTATTTATTTATTTTGCTCTTTTGTTGCTTTAAGAACAACTGCTTACTGCGAGCTTTCTTCTTAACTTGCTGAATCATTTCAGGAACCTGTCATCATTTTATTAGTATTAAAAATGCATTAAGTATTCATTATAGCCCGAAAATATTCCAATATCTTAGAAAAACTTGTTTTATTTTTCTGCTGTGAGATTTTATTTCACTTTATTTTGACATATGTTAATAAACATATGTTTAACTAGGTTTTATATAACACAATATTTCGAAATTGTTATTTTTTCCTTAGTTGTACAGTACTCTGTTTTGTTTCACCATTAATGAGATTTTGCTTCAGTCTGTGAAGAGCCCTCTACTGGGTGAAGAGCCTCAGACAGTTTGAACACATGAACTCCAGAGGATTGATTGAACCTAAATCAAATGTTATTTATCTTTATTTTAATAATAATAAAAAATCTGATCCAAGAATTTAGTGACTCAGTACGCCATTTGTTTTATTTGTAAATGTTTACATTTTCTGCTCATTTCTTTTTCCTTTCAGAATTATTGAAAACATAAGCACCAGTCAGCAAATCTGATTATGTTCATTTCCATTTTATTTCAAATTAAAATTGAAAATACTGAAGATTTATTTTTTAATTTTTATAAAACGATGAACATGAGTTACCACGATGATATTTAGGATGATGATGATTATTATTATCATTATTATTATAATGAAGTTAAATTCGTGTTTGATAAAATAAAATTCAAATATTAATTAGTTCTAGCGTTGTTTTTAGTGGAATTAAAGAAGAAAACAAATCACTTATTTAAATATTGTTTTCCAGTATCTTGCAGCTCTCTAATGCTTTACCTGAATCTTTATTTTAAAGCCATTTACTTTTTTTTCTAGAAGCCACCATCATACACAATAATAATAATAATAACAACAATAATAATAATAATAATAATAATAATCAAGGTTCAAGGTTCTTTACTGACCAAAAAAGTTAAATTTACCATGTCCTGGATGACTGATAATCTTCACCAGCGTGTTCTTTACTGTCATTCGCATCACGTGGTACATGAGGTGGAACGAAATTGTGTACTCAATGTCCCAGTTACACAAAAAAATAGCAAAAATATAAAGTATAAAAAGATACAGTATGTTAGGATCAAATATATTTGCTAAACAATAATAATGTAAAATAATACAGTACATTATTACTATCACTATTATTATTTTTATTAATATATTATTAATAATAATAATAATAATGATAATAGTCGTTTTTCGATATGTTTACTATGTGTTTTCTATATATATATTGTGGCAGAAGTGCATAACAAACGAGACTAAGACAAAAAAGAAAATAAAATATATTAAACGTGCATCTAGCAGCAGTGACCCCTGCAACCCAGAAAAGAAGAAGCGGGTAAAAATACAGGATTGATGGTTTGTGGTTTTAATTTGAATTTGTTTGAGTCCCCTCAGAGGGACAGACAATCTCTGTCCAGTGGACAAAGAAATAGTCTCCAGAGCGGAGTTAAAAGTCTGAAGGAGGAACTAAATCAAACAGATCACGTTCTCGCACATTCTCGTTTGTTATCGCGAGATTTCACTGGAATCGTCAGAAGACCTTTAGCACAGTTTGGAGTCCTTGCTCTGTTTCGGTCTGCTGCAGCACGAAGCCGAAGAGTCAAATATGAACAGAGTGTTAAGCAGAACAACCCTGAAGAATTTGGTATGTGCACGGCTCGGCTAACTCAGGCTGGTTATTACTGGTTTCCAGTTGTTAAAAACACAGACGCGTCAGAGTTTCGCTTGTTCTGTTGCAGCTGCTGCTAACTGGTTAGCACATTCATTTGATTGATTAGCAGTGCTGCTATTGAGTAAACGCGCTTCACAGGGTTCTCTTAAATTGACAATGCCTTTATATGTGCGTTTTAGATACCAACATAGTTCAAATGTGAGCTTTTCATGTCGCTAAATGGTATTTGGTGTTCACACAGCTAGCTTAGCCGCTAAACGTCACGCGAGTTACGACACCATCTGTTTGATACTTTAATAACTTTTTTAATGCTTCGATAACTTGATTTGGTTTTGTACGTCGGCTAAGTCAGTTTGTAGAATTGGTTTACTTGTTTGTTGTTGTAAATCAGTGTTTATCTTTAATAACACAGGGCTAAAATTCAAAACAATGTAATTATATATTTGAACACGTAGAACTGAGACTTTATGGAAGTTTGAAATAACAGGGTTGGATTAAAGTAAGTTATTTTCAAGTGGCTTTAATTATTGTAAATATTCAGTACAATGTCAGTACTTGACAAGAGACTATTTTATGGAAAACACGACTTCAATAAGCAAAGACGACCAGATTATTATTTGTTTTGTTTCCAAATTTGACCAAAGCTACACATTTCCTATGTATTTTCAGGTTTCTTTCCCTAATTTTACTGTTTTTTCTCGTAAATTTATATAACAATAGGTTTAAGTTTAGGTTAACATAATTTTCAGTCAAGTTATTAACTATTTTGACATTTACTATGATTTGACAATTTAAAAGTGGGTTACATATTTGACATTTGCTACATTATAGTTTTTTACCTGCCTGACCTTCACATTATGGTGTTAGCTCCACCGGGCCCAGGCGGGCCTGGTATTATCCTGCTTTGCTTTGACACATCTAGATGCAGCTCCTCCAGAGGTTGTTTGCTTGAAATTAAAATGTTAACATGTGCACTTTCCCACACTTCATGATTGCAAGGTCTAATCCAACAAAATCTATTGCTATTTACAGTTTAAATTCATTAACAAGGTCCAACAAATAGTTATTTAAGGCAGTAATGTGGCAGTATGAGATTTGACTATTTAATACATCTTAATGCATATACAGTAATCCATAAGAAAACAAACTGGTTGCTGATTCCGTTACCATATATTGAAATGTAAAAAATAGTTTGTTCAAATTAATAAATAAAAAAATACTATAAGTAATTATTTTACTTTCAAACTTTACAATATTTCTTGATGTAAACAACACTGCTGCACTGAAATGTACTGTACTTGTTTCGCCTGCTGATATTCAGCTTGAACAGTCTCAGCTGTGTTCTTCCACAGACCGGTTTCATCCAGAGGTTTCAGAGCACCTTGGTCGTCGCAGAACACAACAATGACAAGTTGACCCCCATTACGCTCAATACCATCACTGCTGCCAGTAAACTGGGTGGAGATGTTTCCTGTTTGGTTGCTGGGACAAACTGTGCAAAGGTAGGAAAAAATATGTTTTTGCTTTTTAATTTGTTTAGCAAATACATCTTTAGTCTGCAAACACTTTAGAATATAGACTATGGTAGTTCAGAGAGTAGTGCAGTGTATTTTTCATTGCATACAGATCTGAAGCGTAAGCCTGTTCTGCAAACGATAAGTTTCTGAGGGAAAGTAACACAAGGTTCAGTTCTGAGTTTTCATTGTCTCAGTTTTTAATTATTACCAGGGCGTTATCACTATGGGAACTTGTATTTAAAAACAGGCTGCTCCAGAGCAAAGTATGATTAAATAAAAATAAATTAATTTGCTTGTTTGCTTTTTAAAGATTTATAACTCACTGGGTAATAATAACCTGTGAGCACTCTGAATGAGTTACAAGCAGGTGAGATGGGAGAGACTGAGTATAAACAACTGTTGCCCAGGTTCTTCACCAGTCTGAGTTTTATGGGAAAGTAGCTAAAAGAAAGCTACTGTTGGGGAAAAAGAAACATCTTGACTTTAGTTTACCAAACGTCATGCGGAGAACTCCATGTTCAAGTGCATCTCAGCAGCTGGGTCGAACAGGCTTGAAAAAATGGAGGATAAAATGAATGTAGCAAATTATAGGAAAATCCTAAAGGTGCTGTCTGCAAAAAAACTGTTGTTTTATGTACAGTCTCCCCCATCTCACCTACGGACGCTTGCAATTCCTTCAGAGTGGCCACAAGTGTCTTGGAGGCCTCTCTCACTACCCTCCTCCTTGCACAGTTTGTAAGGACGGCCATCTTTTGGTAGATTTACACATCTTCAATTTCTTAATGTAACAAAACTCCTGGAGATGTTTACGGTCTTGGAAATCCTGATTTGGACTTCATTAATCTTTTCTCTAATCTCAGGACAGTCACTTTAAAGTGGGTAAATATTTATGGAATCACTTTTTTTACATAACTTTTTTTTTTTATTTAATTGGCATTCACTTATGTCGTTGAAGATTTTTTTGTGTGTGTCAAAAATGCCAAATTAGACCATGACTGTTATTGGTATAATGATAAAAGTGTAAAGCATGCAAAGTGTAAACATAGGCACTATATTCTTATACAGCATTTATCTCTTATATGTCTTATTTATCAAACTGCATCAAATGATATCCCTACATTCAAGTTTTTGTTTGCATCCCTATAAAACTTAAAACAAACAAATGAAAATCATCAGGATAAATGCAACATGTTTACTCAGCATTTCAGATGATGGATAAACTAATCCAGCTGTCTGGTGTGAATGTTTTTCTCTCTATAATAAATATATCTTATGATAAATGCAGCATCTGACACAATGAGTCTAAAATATTCTCTTGTCAAACACTATCTCTATCACATATTAATTTAAGGAAACACTCAGTGGTGAATTGCCAAATTTGTCAGGCTTTGATTGTCGTACTAATATTAACGACGAGCATTTTCATTTAGTTCACATGGTGAATGATGTCCTGATTTATTATCTTCACCTGAAGCCAGCTCCATCTGTTTCACATGAATACACACAGTTTGTCAGAA